TTATGTAAATGTGTTTATTTTCAGAGAATACCATTCACTGGTCTAACAAGCACGATATATTTTCAGCTTCCTTACTAGCTTCTTGGATCATTTCAGGGGCGTAACCTATGCCTTTATTCACATATCTCAACAAACTTGACTTCAGGCCATTCAAACTTAAACACTTGTTTAGCAGAGTTTATTTTTACAAATCTTAGGCAAACAAGGATTTCATTTCCCTGAATTCATTGTTTGAAAATAAAATGAAACAGTAGAGATGGCACAATACCACTTTTTCTTTTCTAATACCTTGAGTATCAGCCAATATCGATCAATAAACTAAAAAGTCCCAAATATGCACTCTTAAAACGTTTTTTTCAAGAGTTCTTTAGAAAAGGAAATTGATTCCATATTGAACCATGAACGCTTTGCATGATTAAAGGGTTTTTTGCATCATTAAAATGTTCTTTAGTTTGATGAAGAATGCACATGAATGTGCTATAGATAGTTCTATGTAGAACCTTTATGAAAAGCGTTCTTCTGTTGTTACAAGCTTAACATTGTAACAATAGAAGAACCTTTTTTGTGGTGCTATTTAGAACCCTTTACAGCACAGTCTGATGAACGCTTTTGAGATGCAAAGAACACTTTAATCATGCAAAGGGTTCTTTGAGTGTTCATGGTGCTATATAGAACCATTTTCCTTACCAAAGAATCCTTGAAGAACCATCTTTTTCAAGAGTGTAATACAGTCTGTAGTGTACTATTGAATAAATACAGTGTGCACTACACTCTTAAAAAAGGTTCAAGGGTTCTTTAGTAAAGAAAACCATGAACATTCAAAGAACCCTCTGCATGATTGAAGCGTTCTTTGCATCATGAAAGGGTTCTTCAGATTGATGGAGAATATGCTGTAGATGGTTCTATATAGCACACAAAAGCGTTCTTCTATTGTTACAGTGTCAAGCTTGTAACAATAGAAGAACACTTTTGGGTGCTACATAAAACCCTTTTTAAAAAGGTTCTATATAGAACTATCTATAGCACATTCATGCACATTTTCCATGAATTTAGAGAACCCTTTCATGATGCAAAGAACCCTTTAATCATGCAAAGAGTTCTTAAAGTTTTCATGGTTCTATATAGAACCAATTTTCTTTACTAAAGAACCCTTAAAGCACCATTTTTTTAAGAGTATATGTAAATAACAGGAATTTGGTACATTATGTACATGAGACGCAATATATATAATTTACCAACTAGGTTAGATTAGTTACAGGATTGGATTAATTTTTCTTCCTCTGATATCTGATCAGGCAGTTTCTGCTGATATCAGTCTGATCTGTCTGGTATTGGATTAGTGCCATTTCTCCTGAACTAGTTTGGTTTCAGGCTGAATCAGCCTGTAGAGGTTTAATCTCTATCAATGTTTGGTTTGGATTGTATGTAAGTTTATAACCTTTCAAACCTCCTTTTATACTTTTCACTGTTTTCATTTTCCAGTTTTTTGAAGGTTTTTTGTCTGTTAAACAAGTAATAAAATTTGTATGGCCTGCTAACTATCTTCACCGCGCTAAGTAGCCTTTTATACAGAGTTCTATTATTATTTTTCAACAGTGTCTTGTAAACATTGTGGAAGAGTTCTGCCTTTTCTTTTGTTTGAAATTGCAATATTAGAAATATTAGAAAATTGCTTATATTTTATAAGCAAGAAATAATATATGTAAGTGTTCTGCGTAATGTAAGTGCTGCAAATCCAAAAAAATGATCATTTGAAGCGATTATTGATACCTGATTTATGTCCTTCTGTGCTCACACTTGTAGCCCAGTAGTTCCTGTCATTCCTTGTTCCATTCGTGTGTGAAGTGTTTTACCATTTGCATCAAAGAGATTGGTTTGTAAAATATATAAATAAATTAGTAAAACTTTTAAAACAGACACTTTCACCGTGACGTTTGTCTGTTTGAACCCTTTTGTTCATAACAGGGCCTGTTTACCGCCGAGAGCTTGACTCAGTACGATCCATGCAAGAATAACTTGCCCTCAAATAGTCTGCACCACACATATGTGATCTTTCAGAGAGTTTAATGTTTTAAACTGCTCAAGCCATGAACTCTAAGCATGTTTTCAGGAAAAGAATTAGTGCTTCCTGGCACCCTCTCTTTAACGTTGACCAAATCAGTTTAGTACACCATGTGCAGTGGCCCCAAATAGTATTTAGACATTTGTGACTTATTTAAAAATGCATGAAGTTCATTTTGTTAGTTAAGAAATTGTCAAAGCAAGTGTTGTTTATTTTAAACAAACCATTTCAAGACATTTTCTTTTTTAAAAGTATTCTTTTAAAAGGCAGCTGGTGTCTTTCAGATCATCATTATTTGAGTGATTTCTTAGAACACTTCTGCGGGTTTGCATCTAAAATGCCTCTGTACACTTTCTGAGTTCATGATCCCATCAATGAACGCAAACTCACTGATGCCACTGCAAGAAAAACATCTCCAGACCATTTTTCCACCTCTGTGTTTTACAGCACCCTTAGTGCTCTCTGGCTTCCACCATCAAGTTTTTTGCTGATACATTTATTCTGTTATGTTTACCAAAGTTTAAACTGTTAAAGTGTCCGAATATTTTTGGGCCCACTGAAGGTGGAACTGGGAGAGATTGCTCGTGTTAAGCTCAAAGAACGGTCACTTCAGCTGTCCCTCCATATTTATTCTACAGAACACGATTAAAGCTGCATTGCAGAGCTTATTGTTTGTCTTGCATCCTGAGTTACTGAGGTATGAGAACTATATGATGTCCAGATGATTTCTAACATATACACAGTGTATGTATCTTTTCAAGTCAAGCTGAAAACAGAAGAGATGCATGTTTTTTTCTCCATACATGCAATTTTGTCCTAAACATTTTAAAACTTCCTATCTGAGTAAGAAAGAAAATTCTGGAAGGAACTTTTTTGTGATCCACACAGTATTAAACAGTGTGATTCAGGTTTAATGCTGGTATAATAAAAATGAAGGGACAGAAAACACATGATTAACTCCACAGAGCAGTTTTTCAAAGCCAGGCAAACAAGATATTACCCCCAAAAATACAATAACAAAATTTTCTTGAATTTTTATGCCATTTTTTAAAATTATTTCTTTAAGTGTCATATAACCTGAATGTAGGCTTTAGTGCTACATGAGCTTCTCCCTGTCGCAGATTTTAAGAAAACCTCATGTGATGGGAATAAACGATTAACATTCCTGAAAATACATAGCAGAACTATAAACAAATTTTCTCTGACCTGAGTTTCTGAGGCACCTTTTGTATCTCTGTCTCCAACTCCAAGTTTTTAATATTTTTTTATTGCAATGATTTTCAGTTAACACAACCTGTTACGTGATAAAGACAGAATAAATATGCTTGACAAGAATACATTCAATAAAACATTACCATATAGGTGATATAAAACAGAAAGAAAGCAAAAAAACTAAAAAAAAAAACTCATGAGGCATCTATAATATCATAAATTCTAATAGTTTTATTATTTATTATCTAATAGTTTTAGTCTAATAACTTTTTTGTTAGTTTCCAATCGAAAAGTCTTTAATAGTGAGGTCCATTAAGAAGAGATCAAATTTGGGTATTTGTGTCCCCAGTCACTTTTATTCTGATTTTATGTCTATAGTTTATCTTTAATATGCATATACATACATACATATATGGTTCATTCTACAGGAACGTCCACTTTTCTATCTATCCATAGGTGTCACTGGTGTTACCAGTCCTCGTTGGTGTTACACATAAGAAAGGTAACACCAGAGACATTTTTAATGAAAAATGCATTTTACAAAATGGCTGCTACAGAGCATCAAACCACATGTTGTCAATCATTGAATATCCACTAAAATATGTAATTTAATCCATTTGTATTCTATTTTTTCACAATTACCTAAGAATAAAGTAGGTCACACCAGTGGCTTCAGCTAAAAGCTTCATATGAAATCATGAGCTAAATGAGAAAATGTCTGATAACTGAAAAGACACAGTGGACTCACCATGTGCTTTTCTTCATAGATCCTCAGAAAATAGGTAAAAGGAAGTCAAGTGATGTCATCAGTGTGATTTTTATTTCAAAATAAGAGATTTTTTTGTTACGCGGCAACACCACTGACACGAAACCTGGGGACAACAACTTTCATTATATATTTTATAATATTTATTTGGCATTTGTTTTCTTTATGTCATTTAATTTATATATTCATAATCATGTATAGATTATTGTAGTTAAAATTGCAGAAAAACGTGTTTTTTTTCTTCAAAATATGGCCTCACCCTTTACACATGACTGTGGGGATGGTCACGTCTGTGGTGCTTGGAATTCTAGATAATTGATTTAAAAATCAATGTTGCTAAATTGAGGCTCAAGAAGGTTTAATTGTTAAAATAACTTATTGTTTTATTTTAAAATATAAATAAATTGTAACCCTAACATGTTTTTAAGTGTAATATATCTGTAAATGGTAGAGACACAAAAATGGACGTTTCTGTAGAATAATCCATGTGTGTGTGGGGGGTATACACACACACACACACACACACACACACACACATATATATATGTATATATATATATATATATATATATATATATATATATATATGTATGTGTGTGTGTGTGTGTGTGTGTGTATTTAAGATAAACTAGATAACTAGATAAATTCAGTCTTCCAGCAAACTTAAATACCCAACGAAAGATGTGGCTTCTTAATTGCTAAGAAATGTAAGAGACTTTGAGGCGGGGCTCACACTACACAGTACATTCAAACCATCTTTAGGGTTTATATCTGCACTGTATCCGGATTTATCAGACAGATATCTGGAAAATTCTTTAGCCACTAATAACATTAAAAAACATATGGTCCATGTTTTCTGGATCTTCTTCTCTGCTCTGCAGTTCCACGTGTGCAAACACAAGCCACAGGCGTGACGCCGCCAACGACGCCGTCCAATCAGGGAACGCGCGGCCCGTTTGCGTCAAAGAACAACACAGTGACGTGTTACTGGTGTCTGCTAGCAGCGAGCTAGCCGGCTAGCAGGGAAACAAAGAGGGTCGGATTAGCCGGAACCTTTTCACACAAGACTTTATCGACATGACCCATATTTAGAGCCACAGAGGGTTTGTTTAGACGGGCTTGAGTGTCGATCAACGGGTCACCGCGTGACGGATGACAGATTTACAGCGTTTTACGTTAGCATGCTAGTTGGCTTTTGCTAGGTTGGGTTAGCCTGTAACCAAGCGCCTCTGCGGATTGGATACGATGGTCAAATAGCTGTAAACATTCATTAAAATGAAAATGAAAGCATAAAGAGGCGTCTTACTTGGTCATATTTCATAAAACCGATTCGCTGGTGAAGCTGTCAGCCAGCTAACCGCTGCAGAGCGAAGGAACAAGGTGAGGTTAGCTGCTAATTGTTGTCTGGCGAAGAGAAAAACATGGGCAACTGTCTGAAATCGCCGACATCGGATGACATCTCTCTGCTTCATGAGTCCCAGTCGGACAGGGCGAGTTATGGGGACGGGGCAGACCCAGATCTGGAGCCTCCTCCGCCGTATGAGGTCAGTTAACATTACGAAGCTTTAGGCAGCTTCTTGTCCGGATTTTCCCGTTCCACCTTAAATGGTGCAGCAGTTACATGAGGCGCCAGAATGTAAAGTTAACTGCTGCACCATTTAAGGTGGAACGGGACTGAGGACCCGACTGAAGCTTCGTGTACAGAGGCCCAGTTACGTTAACCTGGATGTTTAGCCGGAGTTGTTGTCATCTTTGCAGCAGCGTTTCGTGTTGACAGCCTTATTTTCCCCATGCAGTGAAGCTAAGTGGTGTTTAGAGTCGATAGAAAGGTTTTTAATGTTTAGGAATGTCTTGAAGTTATTCAGCCATCGCCTGTGGTCAGACAAACATCTTCTGTTTGCTAATGTCACATTCCTTACAAGGAAGATCGATAGTAGTACTATAAAAACTAGTGTTTCCTTATAACAGGGGGCTCTTGGTCCTGGAGATCGACCACTCTGGACAGCTGGGCACCCCTGCCTTATAGTGGTCACTAACACTTGTGTAGGATCTGTTGTGATTGCCTGAATTGCCTATAATATTCGTAAATTAATCCCATAGAAATTCCTATAGTTTTACAATTTTATAATAATGGTTCTAAACAGGACAACATAATCTTTACTGAATTAGTTTTATATCAGTGTCCAGGCAGTTGAGGAAACTTCTAGTGAAAGGGCTCATCAAAACCATTAAAGCCAAGTCTGCTGCCAAGTCTTACAGACACATGGATGAATTAGTACTTTGCCTAAATATGTAATATAATTGCTTGGTTTCAAAGACTGGGATTAAGCGAATTCCGGGACTACACAGCAGTCTGAACGAAGATTCCCCAATGAAGTGAAAATGTAGGTGTGGGCTAGGCTTGATCCCTGTCTGGCCAACTGACCCAATATGTTGTAGCAGTTAATATCAGAGGTTACAGTGATCTTGACTTCACATCTAAATATTTAGTTAGTGAGATACTAACAGTTAGCAACACCTACACGTATGCATTAGTGAGCAAAAATGAGTTTATGGCTAGTTCATAGTTCATGGCTAGCAGTTTAGTGACCTCTGTCCAAGATGAAGAAGGAAAATTATGAGAAAACATTTGACACAAGTTACACTAACCAGTTAAAATTCACAGCTGGTTCATTGTTAATTGGCAATGCCATCTATTCATCTCATTTAGTACATGGTCAGGGAAGCCCAAAAGTTAAAACTTTATGTATTTCAATTACATGTCAGTTTTTACATTCAATTTAAATACACAAATCCAGTGTAAAAATTGGTATTATAATTTGTCTCCTCATCATGTTCAATAAACCTGAATGAATTAAATACCGTTTAAATTAGAAGTGCTTGTAGGATTTGTGCAGTTCTTTTACATGACATTTATGTATTTCTAAAGAGTTAATAGTACCTTCTGTATTCACAGCACAGTTACTTAGACTGTGTGACAATACATGTTAAATTCACACACATTTATTGTAGTCCACACTGTACTAAACAGTATTTGCTGAGGCTCATTACAAGACATATGTAAACTTTAAAGTCTAATGTGAAAGAAATAAACATAACTTTGTATATTTCAGCTGTGATCAAATTCCCTGCTTTAGAATTTCTATTCACTCGCAACTTCACTACTAATTAAAGCAGATGTTTATGTGCACAACATTCCTATTGAGGTGCGACTCTCATGCTAACCATCATTCAAGTTAGCTATCTAACGCTGTCAGTCACTTCATGCCATGCTAACATGTCGAGGTGGCCTACAGTTACAAAAACCATGAACACTTGATTTGAATATTAATGGAATACATCTTTATATACTATTCTTCACAATAAGTCACTCCCATTGTTTATTTAATCTACCTTTTGTGTCCGTTAACATGACTGCAGACCTAGTAAGGATGCTGGCTTGCTAGTTCGCTGGTGTTGTCTAGAGTATCTCTCAAAATAAGCAAAATGAAACATTAATATGGTCAAAAACATTAAAAACACAAATTAGGTTAATGCGCATCACTGTTTCATTGCAGTTGCACTGTATAAGGAAGGACGGCAGCAGACTGTAAAAATAAAAAGAGCCATTTCATGTCCACCATGCCAGCTGAAGCAATTTCCTGGTTGATCATGTGTTTCCTGTTACTATTGCACATGCACACTGCCTCCTAATAAGATTTAGTGGAAAACTCTAACAATTCTTATACAATTCAATTAAATCAGTTTTGGAGTGTGTGGGTGTGTGTAGTATTAAGCCCTGTTTATGCCACTTACTGGTGAGATCTGAATACTGGGTTTGTTACATAGATTGACAAAAAATAAAAATACCAGACTGTTGCATTGTACCAAAGTCCTGTAGCGTCATCCCCAATTGTAGGTCTCTACTTTTAGTGTGGAAGATTAGAGCAACAGCTTGTTTATTTCAATTGCAATAGAACAGGAAATGTGAAAGAGAAAATGAGACAGTGAAGAATTGTATGAGTGTTATTTTATATCATCAGGTAGTGTGATATGAAAGGTACTTGTGTTAAGACCAAAGGTCAGTGTAGATCATGCAGTTTAAAAGAGCATAAACACATACAAAGTGTTCAGTAAAAGGTGAAAAAGGCATCTTTGCTGACAATCTTGGCAGCAACATCAAGCAAATGATAATTAATGATACTTTTGCTTGTGGGTTATGTATTACCTGGATTTCTGCCAGAAGTGAGTCGTCTCATCAAAGAAATTTTATGCTTGGTGTGTTCCTGTTAAGCTGCATTCCTCTTACTTTAATAAAAAGAAGCATTATTGCATCCATTTGGATGGCCGAGCTTATTGAATATCTGTTCTTGTATTTGAACTAATTCATTTCCACATGGAAAATTTCCTTTGCTCCATGTGTTCTCAGAGCTTACCTGAGCACAAATCTGAAGGAAATTTTCAGATCGCTCAAGCTAGGTGGCTAAAGAGTGAGTTTATCTCACTTGATTTGTCAGATTAAATTTAGTATTTTGGTCTATGGGACTAGACAGTTATAAATTATAGACAGTCCAGATCTTATTGTGAATGAAAGTATGAAAATGACATGCAGTTAAAAATCATCTGATCATCCAGGGCATGATTATTCAACGTCATCACTTTAGACCAAGAAGAAAAGGGTCTGTAGTATTTTTCCTAATCATAGCGAACGTTTAGTTGGGCTGCATCTTGAGTTTTGCACAGAATCACATACTTGTCTTCAGCTTTCCCATCTCAGATAGGTAAAAGCACCAGTGGCATGCAAAAGCAGCGCCCACTCCAACTGCCTGAGCATTAGACATTGCAGTTCCAAGCTGCTTTTAAAGCGTGCCTGCTGGTTATGTGTGTTGAGCAGGAGCAGGCCCGCATGCCTGTGTACCATCCCACACCCAGTCAAAGGTGTCTGGCCAGTCAGCTGACTGAGGAGGAGCAGATTCGCATCGCTCAGCGCATTGGCCTCATTCAGCATCTGCCCAGAGGAGTGTTTGATGGCGCCAAGAACGGCTCGGAGAAGAAGATCAGAGAGTAAGTGCACTGTAACGTGGTGGTCACCAACCCTGGTCCTGGAGATCTGCCTTCCTGCTGAGTCTAGTTCACAACCTGACACACCTGCTCCAGCCAGTTATCCTCTCCACAGGTCCCTGATTGGCTGAATCAGAAGCATTAGTGTTAGGCAAGAGAGAGGGTTGCATGTTAGGTGCAGATTGGAATTAAACTCTACAGGAAAGCAGATCTCCAGGATGAGGTTTGGTGACCACTGCTGTAATGTGTTCTTGTGAGCTATCAATTGGTTTTTGTGTCTGTGGTTTAAAGTTGGGTTCTAAGTACTGAGACTGAAACAAAAGCCACCTATGGCTCACAGTTACTCACTAGCACCCACTAATGGTACACAACTGAAATACTTGGTTGGTAGTTCAGTGGTCCTCAAACTGGTCCTCACATTGGTCCTCAGCGATCACTTAAGATGGTCCACATTTTTAAGTTGGGTTGGGGCAAAGATCTGGACTGTCTGGGCATTCTTGAGAATCGGTGTGAGAATCACTAGGCTTGTTGAAAGCAAAGATGTTTAGAAGTCGCTTCAGTGGAGTCCAACTCCAGTCCTAAAGCAGGTCAAGTGCAAGTCAAGTTTTTAATAGAGCATTTTAGTTCAGGCTAATTCTTCTGCCCATCTGACTGAAGGTTTTTCTATAATAAGAGACTTGTTATTTAAAGCCACGTTGGACCTGATGCCCCTGCAACCTTTGGGAGAATGGGATTGCAGTAATAGCTGCGCATGATTGTAACTTGGCAAAAAATGTACAGTGTCTTGAATTATTTAAAGGCAAGAGTCGAATCAAAGTGTGACTCAAACCCCCAACTGTTATAGACTCTGGCTCATCGTGTTTCCTCCCCTTCCTCAGGTGTGTGATTTGTATGATGGACTTTGTATACGGGGACCCCATCCGGTTCCTGCCCTGCATGCACATCTACCACATGGACTGTATAGATGACTGGCTCATGCGCTCTTTCACCTGCCCTTCCTGCATGGAACCAGTGGATGCTGCACTTCTCTCCACTTATGAGACCAACTGACCAGACGACATGAAACTGTGCGTTATAGAAACCCCCTCCCCCCCTTCCATCCCTCCACAAGATCCATCCATCAAGGAACAAGTAAAAATCTCCTTGCAGAGCAAGACGACACCCAGGGTCTTTTACTTACTGGGGCTGTTCTGGGCAGTTAAGGGTTTAGAATGAAGGTGTTCATGTCAGTCCTTGAAGATCCCCAGTCAGTACACATTTTTTTTCCTTCTGTTCCAGCTCAGCGGACCAGTCTGAGCCCAGTACTCAACATACCAAAGCTTTTGATCACCTAACTGTGGTGTGTTGGGAGCTAAAGCGAAAGAGAAGTGTTGATTGACTGGGGACCTTTGAGAACCAGATGGAAGACCCCTGGGCAAATGTTTCAGCAGGAGGTCATGGTTTTAAGCATTTACGATATCGTCATGTGTTCCTAATATCAACCAAAACCCTAAATTACATGATCCCTGGACAGGTTTTGGCAGGTTTTCCCTTCATAAGCAGTTGTTATGCTCAGAAAACCCAAATGACTCCACTCGAGAGATTTGACCTGATGTTGCTGTATAGGTCACCATCGCTGTTACTTAATGTTCCTGTTCTTCTCATCTTAGCTAAATGTGGGGAGCTTTGTGATGGACGGCTGCTGGCAAAAGGAGCTTGTTCAGCTGTAAAGGTTGACCAGAGGGACACATGTTTTTACGGAGGGGTGTGCAATGATCTCCTGGCTAACGTGCAGATGATGTTACAAGTCTATTAGACCAAATCATCTGTTAACATCAAGAAGGGAATTATTGGTCTATGCTAGGGTCGTAGCCAGTACACTGTTCTGTTACAATATGTTGCATTTTCTTGTTGACCAGTTTAAATTTAATGAATTTAAAGGTGAATTGATTTAATTTCCAGTAAGCAAAAGTTCCTATTTAAATAGGCAGGTGCATCATTCAGGTTGAGGAATGCTTTGAATTGTGAGCTTCAGGGTGCAATAGGCAAGTGGTTCCCGCTATATAGGCCTATTAAAAATAAGGCATGTCGCTAAATGGTTTTTGGGGACCACTTTTCGAGAACTGCTACAATGTGCCACACTAAAAGTAAGCATCTGCAAAGAGATAAGACACAAATATTTCGTCCATTTTCGCCTAGAGAAACTGTGATGCATGGTGGTGTAAGGACATCATACATTGGTGTGCAAAATTTTAGAGATGGACGTGGTGGATGGCTATGGCCTTCGAAGGCTGCTGAGGTACATTTGAGCCAAAGCTAGCTCACGGTCTTTGTGTCCATTTTTAATTTGGGCTAGAAATGAAGGGTAAATAAAACTTCAGAATGTATTGAATGCAAATATTTTACCTATTTTACTTCAGAAGTATCTCAGAACTGTTAGTTTTCTGACTGATATTATGATTGGTTGTGTCCTTGATTTTAGGCTTGCCAGTTAATAATTACTCACTGAATAATGACAGTCAATAATCAGCCAACAGAATTTGCCAGAATCTGCCTCCCTAAACAGTCATACACATTTTGAGTTACTTGCACTGCTCATATTGTCAGTGCATACATTTTTATTGGTAAGTTTTAGAGTTCATCATTATTGCATACACATTTTAATTAATTTTTGTGTGAAATTATACTTCTAGCTGCCGTAGTATTAATTTCATATGTGCTTTAGTGTTTACTCTGGGCCTGTCACAGTTATTACATAACTGATCCCAATTATTTAAGCTGATTGCATTTATTTTTAACAGTTGTTAGCTTTCACAATAAAAGAAAAAACGAGGGAAACCTGGGCCTTACAAAAACAACAGAAGTTAAAACTTCTTTAGACGGGCAGCGGTGAGCAGTGTCTGTTTATTTGAGCTTGAGCTGTTTCTGTTGTCAGCTGGGAGCTGCCAAGTATCGACAGCTAAGAAGCAAGATGGCTTTTCACCCAAATAGGCTTCTTCTTTAATAGTTCACAGTGATTTATGTAGCAATTAGTGATCAGCTAGAATGTCATGTTTGTGACAGGCTGGTTTTAATATTATCACTGGCCTGGTTTGGATGCTGTGAATAAGCATGACCCTGTTTTTTTAAAACCTTGCACAGAATTTATACAGGCTGTATGTTGCCTCCTTGGGAGATCATTGCACACCCTTGAACTCCAGTTACACTGTAAGACAAAATTACATTTCTTTTTTTCACTTAGAATTCAGCGCCTACAACAAAATAAGGATGGTATCTGTAACAAAACATTAACTGTAACGAAAGTATGTACTTGAAACACTGTACAATGGACCCTACAGGGCCAATGCATCCTTGCACTTTCCTTGACTCTTCATGTTTATTCCTGCCGGTGGTGTCTTCTCAATCAGTATTTCCAAAGGCACAGAAATCTTACAGGTGTCGGCCAATTATAAAAGGGCTCAATTGTGCATGGGGAGGGGGGTTTGAACCAAATAACCACCTGTCTCAAATTTCATTAGAAACGCTTGCACACGAAAATAGTATATACTAAACTTTAGAGATTTGCACTTTACACACAATAATTATAAAAACGTATTTATGTGTATCCTTGCACCGGTTCTTTTTTTTTTCTTTTCCTGTGCAAATTCTTCTTTCAATAGTTCTGTTGACTATGATGGATTTTACGTTCTCTCAAATGCAAATAGAGTAGATTATGTAGTTTTTTTGCATTTGTAATGATCGGAATACCCTGAGTACCTCTGAGTTAGAGTACTTTAAATCCATGATTGTTCCACAAACTAACAGTATCGAAGCTCCTGTTGTTCAGTTCTTCATTAGTCAAAACGAAGCCTTTATTCCAAACTGATGCTGTTCCCATGGTAGCCTGAGCCATGGTCAATAAAAATGCAGACTATTGAACTTGGTGAAGTTTGCTCCTTTCATTTTTGCAGTTGCTTTTAACATTTAACACGTAGTGACTATGAAGGTTTTCAGTGGGTTGAGTGCAGTGGCGCTTTAATTTACTGAATGACGTTTAAAGGCACATCAGTACAATTTAAATTAAACGTTTAGTCTTTGTTATTTACTTTTAAGTGAGACCAGATGCAGTTATTTAGTTGGACAGTCACAGCACTGCCCCCACTGCAGTTTTGATGCATTTTGTGGATCTGTGCCATTTTTACATTGCTTTGGTTTACTACCCATACAAAATGTGACTCTGTGGTTCTTTCAGTGTTTTCTTTTCCAGGATGGGTGGAAATGATGTAGTAGGACTTTCATATTCCTTTTATTCCTTGTTTTTGTCCAGTATCCAAAACATGTCTTTAAAGAGGTAGGTGTAGGGATGCAGGAAGACTCTTTAAAGGGGAATTCCTAATTAAATTACACAATCAAGTCACATTTATTATGACCACCAGCTAATATCCAGAGTAACCGCCGTGTGCAGCATGGACAGCAGCTAGACGAGCTGGGAGTGACTCAATAAGGTCCTGGTAGGTTGTAACAGGTATCTAGAGCCATGCTGACTGCAGTGCATCACACAGCTGCTGGAAGGTGCGTAGGGGAGGATCCATAGAGTGAACACGACAATCGAGGTGGTCCCACAGATGCTCAGTTGGGTTCAAGTCTGGGGAATTAGGGGGCCAGGGTAGTGCTTGGAAGTCTTGGTCATGCTCTTACAACCAATGTTGGACATTTCTGTCCGTGTGACGTGTCGCATTCACTTTATCGTGCAAAGGGTTCTTTGAGTGTTGATGATTCTATATATTTTCTTTACTAAAGAACACTTGAAGCACCATCTTTTTAAAGAGTGTATGATACAAGGTTTGGGCCTAAAATGTATTCTTTTAGCAATGAAGGGCCCCCAAAAAGTCATTATTTTAACTTTACTGCTATTTTTCGCTGTCAACATATAAGAACTCAGAAGTAGGTTCACTGGTGGTTTTGGATAGTAGATAAAATGGTTACATTCACACTGTTAAAGAAAGTAAAAGAAACTCCAAAAAACAGTAAAAATACAAAAGTATCAGGTAAGAAAAATACTTAAGGACTGAATACTTTACTTGAGTACAAAACTTGCAGGGTTTTCTGACAGATGCTGGGTTTACTTCTTAGTAAACCCAGCATCTGTCAGAATAGGAACTGCCATTTGTTTGGCTCTATTTTGTGCTCTAAAATAAAGCAGAACAGAATGTATTTAAATAATAATTAAAAAAGAAATTAGTAACTAATAAGTAAAATGTAACAAAAATGTAACTGAGTATTGAGTAGATCACTTTTCTCACAAACATACTGTACAGTAGTTTTATTATTTTATCATTTTATCACATCATTCAGTACAAGTTTTATTCAAAAATACACAGAAAAGTACAACTCCACCAAAATTTGACTTGATTACATGTCTTGATGGCATGATTTACTTAGTAAATGGAACTACTTACTGTGCACTGCTGCTGCAAAGAACTGGAAGCGTGATCTAGTTTGATCTGTGACTTTTAGAGAATGTGCTCTAATGCCGCGAAGTACGCAGTGCTTACGTCATTCTTTATCCAGCCAACACAAATCAGTCAGGTGCTACTCTGTGCTGTAAAAAGGACCTCTGTACGTTTTGCTGTAAACTGTAATGTTTCGTTACAGCTCAGCTTAAGCGAATCGAGCCAAGCTTAGCCACATCACAACTGTTCATTGAGGAGCTTGTGTTTGTTAATCTGCTAAAGTGTAGCTGTGGACTGCAAGATAATGAATGAGTTTGTTAAAGAAGTAACTTTAGTCTTTCGGGTATGATGATGACGTAAACTCATGTGGGGTAAAAATCTGTATATTAAACCTGTTATTTAAGATAAAGTCAGTTATTAGTGCATGCAGATTTACAAGAGTTGTTATTAATGACACAAGCTGTAAATTAAAGGGTTAATATGGAAAAATGAGGTTTTCATTCATTTTGTTACTTCATGAATTAATTAAATGTTTGATGTAGAATATAGAAACTGTAAAAGACTTAAAACATACCAGTCTTGACAGCTTTTTGAAAGAGGCACGATACAGGGCAGCCAATCAGAACAGAGCTCATTTACATATTGCAGTCTCAAAGGGACAGTAACATGAATTTTGACTGATTTTGGTATGTAAGCCCACACAAATATCATAACTGGAACTTAAGAGCAAAAATAAAATACAAGAAAAATACAGGATATGGGCCCTTCAAGGAAATAAATACTGAACAGACAAATTTGTTTATACAAAAAAATCGGTCTGGACAGGGCGGTGAAATGTTTTAAAATAACTTTAATGGGTCTCCATGCTACTCTACTTTAAATACAGTGTTACAGACAAGTACATTTTTCGGTTGTTCTCTTCTAAGACCTGAGTTAAATAGCATAATCACAGAAATAAGAATGACAGAGAATATGAGTTCATGGGGCAATTCATACAATTGCATACTTTCAAACATCACTTAATGACACTCTGATAGACACAGAATCCAACATTCAAAAAAAAAAAATGAAGGCAATGTGATCAGAAATGTATATCTTGATATTTTTCTTAACACGTTTTGATCCTGGAGATGTCCCAGTGTAGATGATAATGCTCAGAAATGTGACTGCTATGACCGCTCTATGGCTTGTACATCCCGTGGAAGGTGACGGGCGACATGACATCCACCTCGGCCCTGGCGATCTCTGACAGGTCCTTGGCATTCAAGATCAGGCAGTACGTTGGTCTCTGAGCTCCGGGGGAAACCACGATAGTCAGCAGGACACCTGCAATTTCAGTAAGAAATCACAGTTTTGTAGTCAATCAACCAAAAGTCTGAAGTTTAGCTTCTTCACTTTTGCACTGGAGCTACAAGGCTAATGTAAACTAATGGAGGATTCGACCCCGTCAGTTAGCATGGTGCTAACGGCCTACATCATCACACGTTTCGTGCTGAGATGTGTGAAAGTATGCTGTTGAATACCAACCAATAAACATATCTAGTTTCTGAATTTTACTTATTTGTCTTTGTCGTATTTTCTGTATCGTATTTGTAAGGGACCATTTGCCATTAAGCCATTATAACTGGGTATAAATATGTGTAGTTTTTAGGCCCCGAAAAATGTCAAAATACTTGGGATATACAGTCTCATGCAAAAGTTTGAACACCGCCAGTCAAATTACATGTTTTGTTGATTTTCTGTGTGGAAAATAGTTACACATCCTCTACAGAGAACACACTCCTGCACATTTTAATGCACAATTACTGTTTATTTGCTGAATGTAACTTATTGGAGGATTTTACAGAAAAAAAGCCATGTTTAAGTTTGTTCCTTGTAGAGGATGTGTTAACTTATTTTCACTTAGAAAATCAACAAAAGACATAATTTGACCAGGGGTGTTCAAACTTTAGCATATGGCTGTATAGTGTGACCTCAATATAAAACCCAAACCTTTTTTAGAACCTGAAAAATGGTAAAATAGCTATTAGTCTCTAGTTACTATATACAGTCTACATAGTCTTATACAGCCATATACAAAAGTTTGCAACCTGTGGTCAAATTACATTTTTATGTTTTATTGAAGTGAAAATAATCTACACAGAACTGTTATTTCTATTAAATAAACTTGTGCAGAGGTGTGTTCTCTGTGGAGTGTTTTACTTAGAAAATCAATAAAAACATGAAATTTGTCCAGAGACCTAAACTTTAAACTTTGACATATGACTGTGTGTCCTTGCATCAGAAATGTTTATGCCCCACATTGTCATTGTAAGCCTCTTAGTCTGAACAAAAGAAGCAGTGTTGAATCCCTATGTGTGGTGTGATGTAGTCCAAGTCTGGGTTTGTAAGCCCAGCTGATTTTGAACATTAGCCCAACTCACCGTCATCCTCATCAACTCCTTCAGGGTTCTGTACGAACAGGGGCTCTGAGGGGTACGAGTCTGGCTCCTGCCACACCCACGTCTCCTTAGTCCTCACGTTCAGCTTGCAGATCTGTAACCAAATACACATACACTTACATTGGCAGGCAAAGACAAGACCGACTGACTGTCTTGATAAGAGTTTAACTGGCTGAGCCGCTTTTTAGGCTATAAAAGTCTGTAGTAAAACTGTGGGCCCACCGGTGGGCCCTGGCCATGTAACAGGTTAAAATGTAGTAAAGACACTGATTCAAACTAGGAGCAATCCTCACCCTGTCTGGGATGAAGTGGTTAAGGCCGAGTGCGTAAGCATAGGTGTAGTTCCTCCCGTTGTTCATTTTGTAGTTGATCTGAGGGAACTCGAAAGCTGTTGAGGTTGGCAAAAGAAGGAAATAAGAAACTTGAAGTAATGATGCACTACTTTCTTAACTACTTGACAGTCTAACAGGTTCTTCAAAGGTATTGGCACAGCAAAAAATGATAGCGTATGGCATAAACATGTCATGGCAGATGTCATATACTGTCCCTGGCAGATTGTGCCAATTAACATAGAAGGGAACCCTCAGGGCCTTCTAGGCCTTCAGAAAAGGCCTTGTGGTTTCCGGGAACTAAAAAATACATGTCTGTAATTTTTTGAATTTGTGTTTAAACTCAAATATTGCAGTACCACTCTTGTTTCATTGTTAAGGGTTCAATTCTTGAGTGAAAATTTGGCCAATCAGGACTCAGTGGTATCCAGGCAGATACATCTAAGCAAGCTCTCCTATCGGTTAGGACTTCAAGTTAGGAATCAACCAGTCATGCTTTGTAATCCTTTAGGCGGGATCGATTTGGTGAAAAGATCACTTTAGACCTTCTGGACGTCCAAGATACCTCACTGACTGAATATGAGCATCAGTCTGATCAGTGGGTTGTTACAAATGGAAAACAGTGGTGGCAACTCTTATCTGAGTCACTCTGAAGTTGCTACAAGGTAAAATATATGCTAACATATGTGTCACAAATTTCAGGTAAAACATGGAATGTCTTTTAGAAGCCTAAAATGTCTGTGTTTAATTTAAAACTGCCAAAGAAATGGTATGCATCATTATTAGCTTAGTGGTAACAAGCTACTAGAATCCTATAAGGACACATCAGAAATTAGCTTTACCATAGAAGTGGGGGTTTTCCTTATGATTTGACTGAGTTCGGACATTTATGGCCCAAATTGAAGGCCTTGCTCTAATAGTCACAGTTCACCACTTCATTAACATAACAGGGTCATGTCACTGTTGCCGTTAATTGTTATGACTGATGTCAAAATGTTTCACATCACGGTGGCTAACTAGAGCACACCCAGCATGTGATATAAGCATGACAATTACCGGTAATGGTAACAAGACACTGTTATACTGCTAAACAAAATCTGTCATGACAGAGTATAACATCTGCTGTGATGTGTATGACATGGTTATGTCAATGTTATGTAGGAGGGTTCTAGAAAAAAGTGATAGCAAATTAGCTTTCTTTTTAAGAGAGGCTTGTCCAACTCAAACAATGCATTTTCATGCATTTTATTAAAAAAATTTATTTATTGTAAATGTATTTAAGCTTTAAATGTATGTGCATGACAGTTTAGGTTACATTAATGTACAGCCGTATGCAAAATTTTGGGCGCCACTGGTCAAACTACATGTATTGTTGTTTATAAAAAGTGAACATATCCTCTACAGAGAATACACTTCTGCATATGTGTATAAGTGAACATACTGGAAGAAAAATAAAACCTTAAATGTGAAAAAGTTATGGCAAATTTTAGATTTTATGTTTTATTTTTTCCAATATGTTAAACTCAGTGGATAAATAGAAATTGCCAGATATTTGCAGAAGAATGTCATATTTAAGTGCGTTCAATGTTGGAGAATGTATTCATTTTACTCAGAAAATCAACAAAACGTCATTTGACCGGATGTTCATACTTTTGGAAATGACTATGCTAAGTGTCAGGGATCTGAAATGATCACTCTGAACAGCAGACACTGCTTTTACTGGACTCTGACCTTGTCGAGGGCCGGAGAAAAGCACCTCAGGCTCCAGCCAGATGGTTCCGTCCTCGCGCATGGTAGCTGTGGCTGTGGTGTAGGGCAAAGAGATCAGATTCTTTCCCTGCTCCTCCTGTGAAAGAGTGAGTGAGAGGGAGAGAGAGGCAAATGAATCATTGGCGATGAAGAGATACTAGCAGAATGAAATTAAATCTGATAAACCTTTAGCTGTAGCACAAAGCAATCTCTCCTTTGTAGGAAGAGAAGATGAAAACATGATTAAAATGAGACTGGAACGGAAATCTCTCCTTAGTTTTTAGACAATGACCTCACTGTGAAATGAATGAAACTGTGACGTACCCTGTAGGGGTCCAGTGGAATCACAAATCTCCGCACTTCTGGCTGAGGGGCGATCATGGCGTGTTTCTTCACCTCATCCCAGTTTTCACGGAGGTTCGCCAGCCACAGGTAGTTGTACACGAACTCAAATCTATAACGCAAGCATGAATTCTCATTAAAACCTTTTCAGTGGTTTAATATACAAGTTTGTATTATATCTACTCAAAATTATTATAAGTAATTGTTCTATTATAATATTTCCCATCGTCATTTCTTTCTAACTGTACTGGATAAGACTGGCCAAAATAAAGCAAACTCAGGTTTGCTTATAGGCTGCTGCACATCTGGGATATTGTTTCATGATAGTTTTAAGTTAAGATTTTGGCCTAATGTGTATTTTTAAAATAGAGGTGTACATGAAGAGAATTTTAAAGAAAACGTCTTAAAATTTTACCATTATCAATATTACTTATTGAAACACATAGATTAAGTGGTTGAATTGGATAGTAAATAAAATGGCTATATTTGCATTGTAGACATCACGACTTCTGGTTCTTATTAACACCACTGTGAAGAAATTAGAGATGATACATTTCTCTACAGTGCTCTTAATGACACAATACACTCTTAATGACTTTCTTCACATTTTAATGATCAACCTATGCAGATTTGTTTTAAATTCAATGGAATTCCCCTTTCCCTAATTGCCCAAACAAGCTGCTTTTAACTCGTTTACTCTTATGTGTAAAAGCAGCATTAGTCTATTCTTTCACCAGAAAAATTCCCTGTAAAATGTAAAGAACCCACTGCTCCTGGCTACTGCGCCGCCTGCTGAATGAAAACTTCACTCAGTCGCTTTAAAAAGCAGATTGGCAAAGATCCCAAGTGTAATTACAACGCAGCAGTTATTTTCAGGTTATTCCAGTTTGACTCATTTACCCTTTCCAGGTACACAGATCGAAGACGATGAAGCCCGAGTCTTCATATGCGTTGATGTGGTGGAAAAGGCCCATTGCGGCAGCCCTGAATTTGTAGTCAATGTACTCTCCTGGGTCCTTCTTAGCAATGTGGATCCATGTCTGTTGACATTAATACAACAATACAAGCTGAAATGTATTTGAGATAACTTTGAAAAAGGTATTAGAATGTGAGCTTTTGTGGTTATGCCTTATGTTTGATAGATGATAAAAGGCAAGTCTTACAACTTATCAGGGATTATATAGCACAAAATCAAGTCACTCTTGGGTATTTCAATGGTTAAGTTGCAAATGCATTTTTCTTACTCCTTTTTCTTCATCAGATTCAAAGCAGTCCATGTAGTTGGAGCCGCGAATAGCCCAGGCGCCCAAAAACTTCAGCAGGTTGATTTTGACGGGCGTCTCCACGAAGACAAAGTAGTTTTCTGTCATCCCAAAGCTGGAAAGGGTAACAGAGATGGGGATACATCATTAGGGCTCTATTTTGTTTTGCATGCACCTTAGACTGCTGAATATAAGGAAGGTGCATTATGATGTTTAACTCAAGGTTAATCCATCTCATTGGAACGAGATGTAAGTGTTGAATGCTAACCTGTGTACATAGGATGGTTTGAACCTCTCAGCACTGGGAAACTGGACCACAACCTTGGATTTCTCAATGGGGTCTGACTTATCTGGGGGAAAGAAAACACATTTTTATTAGAAATAATGGGGAAACATGTCTGCATGCTTGGTCATGCTTGGCCAAAAGGATAAATGTAATCATTGCTACATCTGTTGTAAAGATGCCTAAGCACATTGTACAGCGGTGCCACAATTCTCTCTAGAGCAGATTTTCCGGTTTAAAGACTATCCTGATGATATGATGAAGGTGGGTGAAATTTTTAAAAAACTCTATCTGTTTTGGGGTGGACATTTCAGGGTGGGCTGTTTAAAATGACTCTGAATAGGATGACCACCACTTAAAGGATGAAGTTAGCAAGGTGTGTCTATCTAGACACCTTTTCATCCCTTTGGCTGCTTTTCGCTGGCTGAAAAAGTAAAAACTTGTCTCTGGTGTCCATTTTGTGCTGAATGAAAATAAGATAGATGACTAGCTTGGTTGTATTGGTCTAATATATATATATATAATATATATTATATATATATATATATATATATATATATATATAATATATATATATACATATATGTAAACTTGTCATTCTGTCAACTTGATGAGGCTGAATACAATGCTGGGCTGCAGAATACTACAATAACACAACATAGTAAACACTAGTTTTAGACTGAAATGCCCCTTTAAGGTGTGGGCCTGAGACTGATGTTACAAATTAAGTCTATTACTGAGATCTGAAGCTTTTAATTTCTCTTAAACTTAATCTGATTGAAGAAACAGGCCTACAGAGCCTACTGTATCAGCTCTGAGTGTCATTAAGAATTTAGTGGACTTCACAGTAAGTCTGTACTTAGTATTTGTAACAGTAGTCTTCATGAGCGTCACCTACCTTTCTGAGTTGGTGGGATCTTGACGATGTTGTAAGCCAGCGTGGCTCCCTTTCCCATGCAGTTTCCAATGTTGTAAACAGTGCCGTCTCTTTCAATTTGGGGGTGCGCTGTTACTCCATTAATGTTCACATAGTCGCACATATCAACCTGTCAGGAAGATAACATGGAAGAAAATAATTGGCTGAAAGCAAATATCACCATTGTGTTTCTTTAATATACTAAGGTGGAGTTAAGACTGGCTGATTTGGTGAAAAGATCTATTTGTAATTTTTCAGAACCAATTTTGTGATTGTGTTTTAAATACAGTCATTTTTGGGGGGCTTAAACACTGAATAAACTGTGACAGACTGCCACTTCACAAGCTCTGCATTCTTACAAATACAGCTCTTAATAATTAATTGAAAATACTGCTCTTGCAATTTAAAAATTACGCTTTTTCCAATTGTGATTTTGATATAAAAATGACTAATCGTTCAGCCCTAAGTGGATTTGTTATAGTAGATTAAGAAACTGAAGGTAGTAAAATATGTGCCAGATGCAGTGTTTCATCTTTACCTTTTTCAGCGTCTCTAGAGTATCTACATTCACTTTAGTGATGTAGTTGGTCTCTGTAACAGCATAGAAGTCCTCTCCAATGGGATAAACGTTCACCAGGCAGTTGTCTGTTACCTCAACACCTTTGAAGTAAGTGAAGAACCTGGCCAAAACAGACGGTGAATTTAAAAGCCAGACTTGGTCTGCAGTTACTAATTAAATATATCGGAGAAAAACTCAGGCACAAGGCACAACGCAGTAGAACAAGTGGACAAAAACCTGGAGAAGATGTTCTTGCAGGGATCTGGATAGGCACAGGTTCCAAATTCAGTGATCACAACACGTTTTTCAGTTATGGCACGCACATAGGCATCTGTCTTGACGAACCTGGGATGAGATTGAGTTTCAAGCAAGATGTCAAACCACTTTCACATGAAACAAGACAGACTATGTTTGCCCCCCTTTGCTGCAATAACAGCCTCCACTCTTCTGAGAAGGCTTTACACTAGATATGGGAACATTGCTGTGAGAATTTGATTGTATTCAGCCACTAGAACATTAGTGAGGTCAGGTACTGATATTAGATGATCAGCTCTGGATCACAAACTCCAATCCAACTAATCACAAAGGTACTGGATGGAGCTCCATTACTCCAGAAAACACAGCTCTGCTCCACAGCCCTATGCTAGGGGCTTTAAACTCCTCTAGCCAATGCTTGTCATGGAGCTGCCCCAGGGAATCCCACTCTATTGGTCAGTGCTTTTCCAAGGAGATGTGTGTATGCAGTTGAATACCTGTGTCAGTAATGGGGCACCTTAAAGTAGCTGAATTCACTAATTAGAAAGGCTGTCTGAATTCTTTTTGACAAATAGTGTATGAGAAATTCATCAATAACGATTTAACCAAACCCAGAGTTTGTGCTGGCTCTGGTGTAGTAGTAGATCTCTGCTTTGTAGGTGTTGAGTACAAACAATTACAAGACAAGTGCTGAGAAATATTCTCTTGGGTCATAGAAGGATACAGGATACAGCGCTTTCACAAAAGGCACAATACAAAAACCAGTCAGTCTAGCACAAATGTGAATATTTACTCTGCTGATTTGCTGGACGTCTGACAAAAATGCTGGTAATTTTGACCCAGAAAGCTGCAGCTACTCATGCAGCCAAAGCCTAAGAGACACGTGACAGCTCAGCTGCAGGATAAGGCTATTAATCCATTTCCTTTTATGCACAGCATGCTTAATTCAGATTTACTAAGACCTGTTCTTTCTCACTTTCTCTCATATTTTTTGTGTAAACACAGTAGTATATACACTACCGTTCAAAAGTTTGTAATCACTTGCCAACAGTTTTTGAGTTTGTATATAATAGTAATAACTACAGTCAGTTTAGGTTATTAGTTCTTCAACATTTTTTCACAGGGTTATTCTGATAAAGACTCTTATTGTGAAGGCAGGCCTTGTTTTAGGGATATGTGTGTAGAGCAGGAAGAACTGTGGGTCAGTCGAGAGCTGATGGCTGAGAGAGTGAGATGTGGGCTGAGTGGTGGGTGTACTTATGTATGGCAGAGCTGTAGCCAAGAACAGCTGGATGATAAAGGGTAATAAAATGTGAAAACTGTGTCTCTTTTAATAGCAGTGAATGATACAATACGTGTTTAAAAATTACAGTTTTTGATGTTTTATTCAATATTTCAAGAATTCTGTAAAGAAGTCAATAAACTATACATAATATATACATAATATAATAGAACTTTAGAATTAGATTGATCTAATTATCTTGTGGTTGGTATAGTGTAGTGGGTAACACTGCTGCCCTTCGATAGCCAGACTGGGGTTTGATTACCCACTCTATTAGGAACACCTACCAATAAGAGTCTCCTCACGCTACATTTGCCCACCTCTATAACATGATCGAATTGCAATTTGCTTTGGATAAGAGTATCTAACAAATATGTAAAACTACAACTCTTTCATCATTCTGGACAAATCAAAATTTCTTAGTTTTTATTTACAGCTTCCTACTGTCCTACTAATTATTTGAAATCTTGCACAAGACTAGTGTATTAGAATCATTTATACACTTGTCTGCAACAAATTGTTTTACATTATTTGAAAACATTATTTTCAAACTTTTAAACAGTGATTTTGAATGGTAGTATGTATGTGTCTAATCTCTCGTGGGCCACTCCAAAGTCTTTCTTGGTATTAAGTGTTAATGCTTTGAGACTACAAACATTCCAACAGTGTCGGTACCAAACGCCAGCCATTGATCGGAACATAATCTGAGGAGACCATGACTTTATCCAGATCTGATTTACTGCAGCTTTCATTTGCATGTAGATTGTAAACCTACCTGCGGAAATAGGTGACCTGGCCATTGCTGAAATCAAACTTGTGCATCAGGGCTTGGCCATCGAAGAGATGGTAGAAGGGTTCAGATCCCACCTCAAAAAGGCCAGGACCCAGGCGAAGAAGACTTCCTCTGATAAAGGAAGGGATTCGCCCTAAACAGAAGATTTGAGTTATACTAATGATACAATATAAGCAGAAATAAAAGAGATAGAGGCTTTGGAAAGCACTACAGGATAGAATGGAGATGAATGGATTGCTCATAATACAAAACTACAAAATTCTGGATGAACAATCCAAAACATGATGATATTTCTAATGTAATCTGAATGTAGAATATAAAAAAACTGAGTAACATACCAGTGACTGTGGCTGGTAGAGGTTCATTCAGCTCCTCCACAGTCTCGAAAATCTTCTTGTAGTCTCCAGCGGGGTGTTCAAAACTAGAGGCAAGCATTTTATACTTAAATTCTATCATTATTTATAGTCTTTTATTGATCAACCATAAGGACTGAGCAACTCTCATTTAATTCAGCTTAATATTAGCGCTTAACCTCTTAAATGGCTGGGAGTTGCTAGGTCCAAACTTTTATAGCTCAGTTTAAGAATAAGTCAGTTTACATTGTTTTCCTTGTAGTTACAGAATACTAACCCTTGGGATGTAATAAGCACAAACATCACTCCAACTCATCCCAAAGCTATTGGATGGAGCTCCATCACTCTTCACATACTATAACAGTACTAACAGTCATGCCACGCTGGAACTAAGTATATAGACTGTACTGTTGCCATGTACAAGACTACCATACAGTCACTCATCTGAACCATACATCTCACTGCAAATCATCCATTTACATTTTTTCTTGGCATTCATGTCCATTTCTATACAAAAGACTGCAAAACTGACTGCACTGATACCTTGGCAAGTAAAAACATCTTAAATCTAGTCAGTATATTTAATATTTCTCATTATGAGACTGTTGTAAGAAAATTACATAGATTTTTTAACCAGTTTCAAATGTAAAATTGTTTTTTTCATTGGCAGATCATTTTACTTGTACGAAGAAATAAAACAGACGCTTCCAATAGATAAAAAATCTTAAAACAAGTAAAAATGTCTAGAAATAAGTCGAGTAATAGTATAATATTCTTACAACAGTCTCTTAATGAGAAATGCATATTCACTAAATTTAAGATGTTTTCACTTCATTTCCTTTCATTTTGCAGTGAAGATGCTGATTTTTTTATGGAATTAAAAGTTCAAGCTGCTGTTTGTGGTATCTCTGAAAGCTGTGGGTGTTATAGTCAAAGTAATGTTGCACTTACCGGCTAACCATTTTTCCTCCTTGTGTGGTTGAGCCCTGTGATACAACCAGCAGGTGTGCGAAGGTCCGAGTGTGTTGTGTTGGTTAGTGGAGCCCGGAGTCCTGCTGAGATCTGAGGCTTTTTATACTGAGGTCCTCCATTCACATGTTATAACCCAGCTAACTTTGACTAATCATACAGCCAATTACAGTGTTCGCTGAACAACAGGTTCTTTGTACGAGGGTCCCTCGTAATAGCCGTGATGTCAAATAGGATTTGCTTTTCCCAGCTTGGGCCAAAAGCTGCTGAATATAGTGTGGCAATAAGATAATAAACACAAGACTGTATTATACAACGACACAAAGCTAAGAGCATGAAAAAAAAAACATTCTGAAAAGCTTTATTCTTCAGCATCACTGAGCAATTAAATTACAAGCTACACATCATGTTGTAATACTCATCTAGAATATAATTTGACCCTTTTTTGACTTAATTATGGAATTTTTCTATTTATAAATATAAATTTGTCAGATGTTTTGCTGATATTTTCTGCTTTTTTGATGAGATTATGATAGCATTCATAGTACACAATGCAAATAATTCAATAAAGTTTCCCACCTAGGCTCACACAACAATAATGAAGAATTCTTAAATTTTTAGTACTTTCTGAACACTTATAATTCCTTATAAGGTATTCAGAATGAAGAAAATGCATGTACAGATCTGTAAAAAAGTCAGAGACCACCCTTCACTTGTTTAATTTTAAGTCAAAACAGCCACTAAGTACAAGTCATTCATTTTTATATTTCTGTGGAGATTAGATATAATATAATCCACTTGTGTAAAGAAGAGGAAAGTCAATGGAAAATAAGTGAAAAATGTGCTAAACCTTATATACTAAATCCTGTCTCTGAGTCATGTGAAGCATCATTGCATCTTTTCAAACTGCTAATGCAGCGTCACTGGACCTCTGAACACACTTGGAGGAGAACGCTAACTGACAGTTCTGCTACAGTCAGTTAACAGACACTGGCTTGCATCTCTCTGAGTGATGGGGAGCGGGAGGAAGATGTGCTCTTCTAGACTCGTGGCTGCGGATGGCTGTGGCATCACTGGGGATCAAGCCCCCGATTTGATTTAGATTTTGTCCCCTTGGAATTATGAGGTTCTATCTGTGCTCTGAGCAGCTCTGAGATATTGGAGATATAATTTTTTTTTGTTGTCTGGATAACGAGTCAAAAAATACATAGAACTTAAAAAACACCCCATATTATGTTAAGAAGTTGTCACAGAATATGTGAATAATTACATTTTGACAAAAATGTCAGGTAGAGCCTTTTATTTCCAAGGGGACAGTATATTTGTTTAATGGTCACTGTATAATTCTGTATGTCATTTCATAATTTTGAAGTCACTCTGTATCTTTAATAATAGTAAGAATGTGGAAAAGGCTTTTTTGAGTAGGTTTATTTAAACATTTGACTTGTACTTCTACAGCATTTCTCTCCAATTTTCCCTGTGATTTTCTATCGTTTGAATGATTGTCATTAATCTAAGGTTATTAGTATTATCTGTCTCAAGTGCAAATCCAAGACTGCCTCATATTTCTAACGTCTCCCCAAATGTGCCTGAGGCATGGGGCTGTTGCAGATCCACTGCTCTAAAGGTAATCATTGTTATGTGGCTCCTCTCTGAAGGCTTGTCTCTGCAGTAATCACACTCTCCTCAGAGATTGTCAGATATGCATTTGGAACAACCAACACTTTGTCTCTTCAGAGCCCATGGGAAAGAGACTCAGCTTCCAATCAGATATAATTCTGCTCATCATAAAAGCAGAACACTCGACAATCTAGTTCACAGCACGAAAATGAGGTGTCTATAGTGGCCACAGCGTCAAAATAGATTTCAAAGGGGAATTCACAATTTTTCACAATTTCTGCATGATTAAATGGTTAAGATGTAAACAAAGTATTTCAGAGTGGTTTGGTGTGAAATACTCCCTTCTAGACAAACCTGAGTCAGACTTCACAGCGGTGGTGATAGGAACCTGAAGCAAACGTATATAAAAGCTACATCACAAAAAACTATTACATGGAAAAGGTTGTCAGTATAATCCAATAAATTCATCCTGTAATTTTGCGACCTGTGAAGGTTTTTTTCATCAATTAGAAGCAATGCTTAGGCACAAAATAATGGCAAAGAGTTACATGCAGGGCATCGTAAGTCTAAACAGTGTGAAAAGTCAACTTTTTTAAACATATTTAACACTATTTACATCATATTTATCACCATCACAATTACATGTGAAAATCTCAGACACGTGTAAGCTCACTAGTCATTTTGGATAGCAAATAAAATGACTATATTTGGGCTGTATACATCACCTGGTTCCTATCACCATCACTGTAAAGAGATCCTAGTAGGTATGTTTCTCTACAGTGAACCACATCACATCAAACCACTCTGAATGATTGAATCCTGCAGAAATTTTTCAAAATGGGTGGATTTCTCTTATAAAGATCTAGACTTTAAGGCTGTCTGTATTCAACATTAAAAATGAATAAAAGCCAATATTGTGATCGGTTTTTGTATGGTATTGGTGCATCACATTATTGAATGTTTAAAGCTGGCTGGAGACACCAATAAGAATCCAGCATGCACTGCTGATATTGCAAAATATGTGAACCCGGGATCGCAATGAAAAACTCTTTCTCTGTGAGGAATGCCAGCTTCAGCACACGTCCAGTAAAAACGTGTACAAGAACACTTCCTCTAACTTCAAATCCGACATTAGTGGTATTTTTGGGCTTATTTTTGCAACCTCACTTGGTCAGGGCAGCTGAGGCCTTCTGAACATAAGGGCAGTCGTTGTTCCAGCTCACAAAAAGAAGGCTTTGCTTTTGTATGACATTCCTCAACAGATTTGTGTGATCTGTTTGTTTTCCAGCAGAGACACAGCCAAACATAGCCATTAATACACTACTAGCAGGGAAGGCTATACTGCACACATATGTTTACTGAATTGTAATCAATCAATCGATTATAATGCAATCAGATTAATCCAAATTTAGAAAAATAGCACCTGCTAGTGCAACAAATGAATTCAAGTTGAAGAATGTTGAACTTAATTTTCCTATAACTCACTGCATCTCACTCTCTCTCTCTCTCTCTCTCTCTCTCTCTCTCTCTGTGTGTGTGTGTGTGTGTGTGTGTGCGTGTGCGTTGTATACATGATAATTGACTTGATTTATAAGTTATTTTAGCATTGATTTACAACAATGTAGGTAATGAGCTGTAAGTGGCACATAATTCATTCATCTGTCTTTGTCTTTTATTTTTTCTATATTATCATTGCTCTATGTTTCATTATAATTTGATTAGTTTTTCATTTTAAATGACATTTAAAACTTCTAATGGCCTAGCTTCAGCATATTTTACTGATCTGTTGAAATGGGAGAGCCTCTATAGACTAACAGCAAACTCCTAGTTTCCCAGCTGGTAAGAAATCCTTTTCTTATATAGCTCCTAAACTCTGGAATGTCATTCCAGAGAATATTAGGAATGCAAGTTCATTAGATGTTTCAAATCCAGATTTGTATCCAGCCCATTTGTATACCTTAGATAGGTTATTCCTGGGAGAAAGTAAAACTTTTTCATAATTTAATGCTTTAAAACGGAAGAATAAAAATAAAAGCCTGGAGACAAAACAGTGTGTGTGTGTGTGTGTGTGTGTGTGTGTGTGTGTGTGTGTGTGTGTGTGTGGAGTTTAAGTACAACTTAAAAAAATGTAATTGCAATGGAATATGGTACAATTATGTTCCCTACATAAAGATACCGAAGATGTACCTCTGATGTTTTAGATTTAGTTTAGTAATTTTTTCTGACAGTGTATAATTGTGAGTATAATAATAATAATAATAATAATAATAATAATAATAATAATAGGAGAGCCTCTACAGACTTACAGCAAACTCCTAGTTTCCCAGCTGGTAAAAAATCCTTTTCTTATATAGCTCCTAAAGAATCCAGAGAATATCAGGAATGCAAGTTCATTAGATGTTTTAAATCCAGATTTAAAAAAAATTGTTTAGGCTGGCTTATGTCTAGAGTGTTGTGACTCTTTTGCCCCTGTTGTTGGTAATTCTGCTGTTAATTTCCTTTAGATTAGTGTTTTATTTTTTTAAATTTTTTACTTAATTATATATGTTGTTCTTTTGTTGTATTATTGTTATTTACTACTACCACTACTACTACCTCATTCATTCATTCATTCATTCATTCATTCATTTATTTATTTTTGCTCATTACTCATGTGTTTGTTTGTTACTTGTACCTATTGTATAACGGCGCTGTAAGTTTCTTTTAAAAGCCCTCTGTAACCGAGGTCTTTTATTTTACAAAGCCTGCAGCTCCGCTCGGCTCTTTGCGCCTTCTTTACGGAGTTTCCGCCATAAGCGGTAGACGGATGCGCTGCGGCCCGTCGTTCGGAGTCTGTGGTTTTGAGAGTGAAGAACAGAGAAAACGCTGCTCCCACATCTCCGGAGGCTGTTTCACGGCGGATATTAGAGCTCAGAGACCCTTTCAGGCGCTGGGTTTGTGAAGTCTGTCCGAAGATGAACTGCAGCACGAACGTCGTTCAGGTGACCAACGTGTCCCCGAGCACGACGTCCGAGCAGATGCGCACCCTGTTCGGCTTCCTCGGCACCATCGAGGAGCTCCGGCTCTTCCCTCCAGAGTGAGTGGCGAACCAGCGCTCCAGCTCCCTTTCTCCCTCTCTCTCCCTCTCTCTGAGCGCCCACCGCCCCGCCGGTGCTGCTCTGATTGAAAGTAGCGCTCCGTCCTCTGTTCGCTGGTGAAGGTTTATCTGTGGCTGCCGAGCAGAGAGAAGTAGGCCGCGCCGTTTTAGCCTAGCCTAGCCTAGCCTAGCCTAGTCTGGATGCTAACACTACCGAGATGACCAGAGCCATGTTTCCAGCTCGTGGTTTCTTTTTCCAGTTTAAACATTGGTTATGTAAAAAAAATAACCTTTAGCCCGACTTTGCAGACGAGGCTGAAGGTGGCTTCATATTCTTAGGTTTCTTGTTCGAATTTGCCCGTTCCACCTTAAATGGAGCAGCAGTTACATTCTGGCGCCTCAGGCGTTAAAACAACTGCTGCACCATTTAAGGTGGAACGGGCCAATTCGACCAAAGCTGAGTTCAGCTTCGTACTTTGAAGACACACAGTTGGTCTGTGGTGGTAACCGTTGCTAGCAGAAGTCAGATAGCTAAGATAGTTGATTTATTAAAATTAACTTAAAATTAAATGTGTAAAATGTGCAGCCGCGAAACTCAAAACAGTTTCGTTTTTATTTTTTATGCCGTCTGTTTTTGTTACACGAGCAGCAGCTCCGACCTCAGAGAGAGAGAGAGAGAGAGAGAGACTCTGCTGCTGTGCATATTAGTTACCATGGGACTGTTTTTGACTTGGTATCTCGAAATAATGACTTCTTTTCTCGAGATTTTGAGTTAAGACGGAATCCCGACGTACTGTGTCGACCCAACCGACGTAACGAGTCGTGTTGGGATTGTAAGTTGTTATATTAAGTAGTTGTTTCGAGAAATTAAGTCGACATTTTGAGAAAATTACGCTATTTCTAAGTCTATTACTAAGTCAGAATGAACAGTTACTTTGAGAAAATGTCATTATTTTAACGTAAGTCATTGATGTGAGAGAATAATTGTTTATTTTTTGAGAAAATAGATCATTTTGTTGTAAGTCAGTTTTTGAGAAGTCTTTATGTGGGCCTAATGAATCAAAATTTTGAGAAAATAAGTGACTATACATGATCTTGATCATTAGAGATCAGTCAATTTTTTTGGTAGAATTAGAGAAGGAGGAAAATCATGGCCATATACATTTTTCCCTGGCAGGAATGAGCTCCCATATAGCGGCATGATGGGAAGGGAAAAACTGAAATGAGTGGTTTTATGAAATTGTTACTGCACTTCCTTGTCATGAATCATGAATATGATCATGGAAATGCCTTGAAGATTCTTACTACACTGCAGAAACATGAATTAGTACATATGGTGACCAAAGCTCTGAGAAAACTGAGATGCGTTACTGTGGCCAGGTCAGTAATGGGGGCTCTTCCAGATGCTGTTAGTAACCAGTGTTAATGCACCTTCCTTTCATACTGCACTAATAAATCTCAAGGCACCAAAATTTAAGCGGTTTTATTGGCCAAAACTGAAATGAAACAAAAATGTGATGTAACTGTAACGCTCTTTTGTGTCCAGTGACTCGACCATGCCGGTGACGTCTCGTGTGTGCTTCGTGCGGTTCCAGGAGCAGGAGTCGGTGGGGGTGGCCCAGCACCTCACCAACACAGTGTTTGTGGACAGAGCTCTTATAGTTGTGCCCTATGCAGAAGGTTGGTAACTCAACGATATCTGCCTTTCACTTACCTACTGATGCAGAAACTGTTTATTTATTTATTTTTTTTCTTTTTTAATTAAAGTGTCTGTGACACAGGTCTTATACGCTGAATTGGATCAGTGGCTCTTATTGCTGAAAGCCAAACCTCTGTGTAGATAGCAGAGCACAGCTGTACTGCTTATGTACTGTGGTGCAGTTGGTGCTTGAAACAAAGCATTAACTTTAGCCCTGTGCACATTCCACTGGACAGCTGTTGAACAGAAGCTTGCACACTGACTTGTGCTCCAAAAGATACTTTAACATCTGGAACGTATGTTTTGATCCAAGTTGATCAAAGCTAGTCTTGCGTGAGATTGTTACCAGGCATGTAATACAGTGTTTTGAGTATCCTACAGTATTAGTAATTGAATTATGCTGGAATAAATGATTATGGAGTTTAAGAAGGGCACAGTGCTGCACTCCTGTATATCATTTATTTATTAAGCAAAACTAAAGCCTTTAGATCAGAGGAAACATATCTGCTATTGAAGATCACAGCTTTTTCTTGTTTTTTAAATAGAAAGTAGTAAACAAAGAGGGAGCTGATTTATAATGTTCCAAATATAGCATTTAATTGTTCTTTCATAACTGCAGATTTTATAATTTCATAATAGGTTTTTGATCAAGGTGGTAAAATGAAGGGAAAAAAGTCAGTGCAGTAGGTTTTTCTGGACCCTTTTGTTAATAGCATTACAAAAGATTTGTATCAAAAGTTAACTGGGTCAAAATTTCTGTATTCATAGGACTTGGAGCACCTTTCAGTCTGCAGACCTTATCGTTGTTTTCAGACCAGGTTAATGTTGTGCAATTTTTTTTTCCTCTATTTTTTTTTCTCTTTATAACGAAGACCCCAAAACAGGACTACACTGCACTGGGTCTTTTTTTGGTTTCTGTAATGTGTTCCTGCGGCATTTTTTTCCATCCTTTCCCAGTAGAATTTCAAACTGAAGATCAAGCTCACATGCAGAGGAGAGACTAGACTGTGAGTAAGGTTTCTAAGAGCGACCTCTCAGGCTAAATTAGAGTATTAGTGGTCTTTATTAGGGGCCTTAGAGTGAGGCAGATTAACAGCAGGAGGCAAATAAACGGTTTATTTTCACAAACTGATCATTTTCCTTTCCGACCAGTTCTTCCCCATGATAGACTGTCTCCTATTAAAATGTTCTCTTGTTGTTTGTTTGTGTGTGGTTTTTGTAGTGGAGAAGGCAAACGCAGAGCCCCCTCCCTGAAGGCTGAAAGTGGTCCTCTCCCTGCCAACAGGCGTCTGTAGGCAATTACAAAACGCCAGCCGCCACACCTTGCGCCCCCCCCTTCTTTCTTCCTCTCTCTTTCTTTACTGTCTCTTTTATTTCTGTATAGGTGTAATATGTTAATGTGCATAGTTTGCCAACATGCTACTATGCATAGTTACTCACTTAAGCATTGTAGATCTGCCAGCCTTTATGTTTGTGTTTAATCGATCAACATCTCAACACTTTACTGTAACTTGTCGCAAATGCTCAGAAGAGGTGTCACCATGTGGACTGATCCAGAAATGCACGTATGAAACATTATTTTTTCCCATTTTTATATGATAAATCTGCTCTTAAATGTACAATGGGATTGCATTCCCAGCATTAATTTTGTTTACTGACAAAAGGAAGCGCCTCAGAAAGATTAGAGTAATCACATGGGTTAACATTTGACATTTGCACTTATGTGGTTTGTGATTTGCTGGGTGGAATCCACATGATGTAAGAGACAGGTGTGATGTCCTCTCTTTAACAGTGGTCTCTTGTTTTGTTGTTGTGTTTTACAGTTCTTTTTCCCTGGCTCTGCCAGTCCTGTTTACCAGGCCCAGCCGAAAATACAGCCCTACAGTTTTGTCTCCTGCAGCCTTCTATCTCGTGTTCTTGTCTTAAATGCGTTGTTATTGTGTTCTCTTTGTCAACATTTGTTTTCAAACATGTTTATTAAGCATAATAATGGATGTTGGTGGAATTGTCAAGTTCCCCCCTCCCACAGAAAAAAAAAAACTCATGTTTTTAGGTCTTTTGTTGGGACTGAAGTATGACAGCTTCGATGTCATTTTAATTTCTAGGGGTATTTTCATATATATGTGTGTATATATATATATATCACTTGTTCAGCACTGGTTATATGTGCTGAGTTTAAGATATTGTTCCTGTGGGTCATCAGGTAAGGACAGTTCCCAGCAAAAGCCCAGAATTGGAGATGTGTAAGGGGAAAAATATAAAAAAAAAAAAAACATAGACATAGTTATAACCTGCTTTGTCACTATATTGATATTCTTTGTAAATCTGAAACTTATTATTGTTCATCGCCACAATCTCTTAAAGTGTTTTTGTGTTGTGTATCTCGATCTTTCTCTGTGTGCTTTTAGCGAAGCTGCCAACGTGAGTCGCTTGTTCATAAAACGTCTAAATGAAAAGTTGAAAGCACATCCCCCCCCGGAGAAGCCACTGTGCTCGCTCACGTTTGGTTCATGACTTAAATATCACACGTCCAGGTGATCACATCTTGGCAGTACCAACTGCAGTAGTGTGTTTTTTTTTTTTTTTTTTTTTTTTTTTAAATGACATTTCCCCAGTTTAGTTTCTCACACAGTGATAAGTGACTTGGACAACTTTTTTTGATGAAAAGATACCTATTAAGAGAAAAGAGACGCAGGTGGTAATGACATGGGGGCAAGTATAATTATTGCTTGAAGATCTGAATGTTCTGTGATGATGTTTCCCCTTTCTTGAGCATATCCTAGATTAGATTTCCCAGAGTTTTAATTCCAGCTTTTTTGATCCTAAAGGTGTGATTCCGGATGAGTCGAAGGCTTTGTCGCTGCTGGCGCCTGCCAATGCTGTCGCTGGGCTTCTTCCAGGAGGAGGGCTGCTACCAACACCCAACCCTCTAGCATCGGTAATGCTCATTTGATTTTGTGGTCTCAGTTTTCTTTGTATGCTTAAAAGAAAATTTAATTAAATGCTAATGTAGTTTATAAAAAATGAAAATACAAACATACATCATTTAGAAGATGAAAAATATTTATATCTTCAGTTTTGTCGAGAATGTCATTGGTTTCAGCGCCACTTCAAAAGTATTTTGCTGCATCTCGCAGCAACAGTGCTGGTACCACTGTCTGTTCCTGCACATGCGCAGAAATCCGATAGAAATCAGAGTAAGAGTTTACATGCACTGAGAAATCTGATTACGGAGCTAAAATCTAGCCTCTTTATTGGATTTCTTAATCAGATTTCTAAATCGGAGTATGGTGTTCACATGACCATTTGAGTAATCGGATAACTGCAGAAATCAGATTATGATGGGATTATTGAGTGCATGTGAACGCACTCATTGTCAGCGGTGTCATTGGTTGAAAGTTCTGAGTCAAACAAAATGAAGTGTCTTTAGTTTGGACTTAAAGGTGGCTGGATTTGAATTGAAACTCTTGTCATGAATACAGTCTTAAAAACCAACCTTTTTGCTTCCTTTTCAGATGGGAGGTGTTCCTCTGGGTGCTCTTGGCGGTCCTGCCATGTTACCAGGAGCTGGCATGAATCCCCAGGTGAGTGCTCATGATTATTTCACTTGGGTGGTCACTGATCCCATTAATGTAGATTGTGGACATCGTTATTGGCCACTTCATTCTATCTCAGTTTGTGCTTTATCATGTGGTGATTAGGTTTTTGTGTCCTTCACAGGCTCTTTCAGCTGAGCAGCTTCTGAAGTTAATGTCCTCAGTGGATCCCAAGTGAGTTTTTGCTTTTACTGAGTCATCTATTTGCACAGGCCCTATGGGTGCTCTGAAAGGGAAAAATTAATGTCCAGTAATGACCTCATTCATGCTACTTTCCTCATGTCTTTGGGCCTTTCTCATTTTACCAGCATATAATTTTCCTCAGAATCTGAAGTGAAACTGTTCTTCTTTCCTCCACTCCTGCAGAATGAATCCGATGGCTGCCAGTATGGGTCTGAAGGCAGACGCTTCCAGCAAAGAGATTGAGGAAGCTATGAAGAGAGTCCGAGAGGCCCAGTCTCTGATCTCTGCTGCTATTGAGCCTGGCAGTGAGTAGGAAGCTCAATTCAAAACAGTTCCTGAATCTACCCTTACAATGGCATTCGTTCATAAGCTATGTTTACATGCACCTAGGATCATAGTATAAGAAACTGGACTGAGCCAGCGCCATTAAGAGTTTTAATGGTCTGGTCCTTTCATGGATAGATTGACCTGCATGCTAGTGTAGTCTGACCTTGATACTGGAATTTGGCTCCTTCGGGACTGAAAACTTGCAGTACAGTTTTCCAATGTTTTTTAAAAAAAAAGAAAACTCCATGAGAGCGTTTACATTAGCAAGTCTATCTCAGGTACTCTGGCCATCATGGTTATTTAAGTGTCTGTATCACGCAAACAGGTGAAGTTTCAAAACACAGCATTTATTCCCCAGTCCATATAGCGCATATATGAAAATTCAGTAAAAACATTTTTAAAAAAGCAACAAGATTGTTGTTTTTGTGATGTCATGAAAAAAAAGAACACACATACAATAATTTGCCTATTTAGCCTACAGCTGTTTAGCCCAAAGTGGGATTGTTTAGCTCTGGACTGCTTTTTGAACGAGGCACAATACAGGGCAGAACAGAACAGAGGTCATTTACAAATATCAGTCTTATCAGTGGGAACTTGGTCATTTAAAAAGACTTAAATTGTCACAAGCTGACCTCAGGGAAAGATAAAATGTAAGAAAAAGATATGAGCTCTTAAACTGTGCTAAGCTTTGGTCAGCTGTGAGCATAGTGATGGTCAAACTGTGCTATTTACATGGTGTCTTTTCTAGACTAGCAGTTGCTAATGTTGCTCCATTTGTCTCATGTTGGTGTGTGAGGCTGTGTGTTGTTAAGGTTTTTTTCCATTTTTTGCCTGATGCTATTGGGAATAGGAATGAATTGCCAGTAAGAACAAAAACTTTATACAGCAGAGATCCTGCCTAAAGAGCTGATTCCTGCTTGCTAAAAGCGAATGTAATGTTTTAGTGCTGTGTAGGTATGGCTGGGCAGTATGACGATAATTGATCATTATTATGATATATTATGGCACAGTATGCTTTTCTGTGCATATCATGGGTATAGTCAGTACTTAAAGAACACTGACCAACTACATGATTCGTTACAAAGTGGGCATATCTGATTAGATTTAGTGCATTGCATTTTATAAATTAACAAATCATAATAGTTGTAGATTTTTTAATAGTAGTGTTTTTATAAAATGCAGGTTCTAAAAACTAAATATTGCGATGCATATCATGAAAATGTCTTAAAGTATCGTGATTTAATATTTTTACCATATCGCCCACCCCTGTATGTAGGTAAATACCTGTAAATCATTGCCTGTGGAAGACAATAAGATTACAACTGATGGACATATTATTGCTGTCAGACCAAAACATTTCCATTTTTGTCCTCATTTTTTGGCATAATTTGAAAAAGCCAGCTACTATTGCGAATGTGTTTAAAATTCATGACAAATGCACCAATGGAAATGGTCAAAAATGACACGGAACAAAATCCGAATTTAAAAAAAAGTTTTTTTCCTTCTTTAAAGTTCCTTTTATAGAAATACGGGGTTTTGTTTCAACAGTAATGAAATATGGCTTAGATTATGAAAGTATGTTAACACTGTGTTTTATTTCAGATAAAAAAGACAGCAAACGCAAGTATTCCCGCTCCAGATCCAGGTCCAGATCCAGACGGAGGAGATCACGTTCCCGCTCTCGACACAGGTACACACTTACTGTAATGTGTAAAGCTTGTGGGGTGTGCGCAAGAGTGCCATTCCATGTATAGTTTTTTCTGTGTTCATGATCAAAACTGTAAAACAGTTCTATAAAACTAAGAGCCCATTTACACTTTTGCCATTTCGTACGTCTAAAATTCTGATACAGTCCAGATACCCAGATCTACCCACATCATTTAGGCCTGGCTGTGTGAGTGTGTCTCTTGCAGACGGATACAAGTCCGATTTGCATCAGTGCTGCTTTTCCCACACTACATGCAAATCCAAGGAAGTGTCCTCTGTAATGTCGTGAGATGACACTGGAAGTTTGTCTTATGCAGTTATTTGTTTTATAAAAGCTAAAGGGAAGAACTAGCGCTAGTTTTTGACTTAATGTACAAGGCGATGCATTTTTTTTTTTGGTCATGATCGGTTTCACTGATTAAAGGGCTCAGTGGGTCAGAGGAGTTGAAATTGATTGGAGAGGATGGTTATAGGAACTCTGAAGCTAGATGCAGCAAAAAGCCCTTTAATTTCATATGCATTAATTTAAGGATTTAATTGTCTCAAGAACCTGTTTGAGACAAATAAACCCTTTAATTTCATGTGCAATTATGCAGTAAATTGTTTTATTTGTCTCAAACAGGTTTTTCAGAAATCCTGGATTTTGTAATCACTGAAAGTAACTGATTGCATATGCAGGTTTAAGAAACTGCTACATGTACATTTGTCACAGCTGCGTTTCCCAGTGTGTTACAAACCATCTCCTGAAGTGGTCTGTCTGAGTGATGGGAGTCCATCTCTTATGAATCTTTGATACATTCAAACTTTGCTTTTTCACAATCCAGATGGCTGTTCGATCAGGCCACAACAAGTGAAGTCGCTAAGTGTAACTAGGCTCCAAGTGTATTCATAAGACCTCTTTTTGTTCTTTGCATCCTAATGAATTCAGTTGCATGAGTGGTACAATGCCAGTACTGATTTTGAAACCTTAAAAACTGGCTGATGTGGGTGCAACGTTTAGTTTTTTCCCCCCTTTTAAAAGCTACTAGAAATGTCCCTCAGAAATATTACTTACAGGGTGCATTGTGCAAAATTAGACTGCTTAAAATAAAAGAATTGTAATTGTAGTTTAGTATAGATTCTAGTACAGTTCTTGGCTTGCTGCTTGTTAATCTTATGGTGATAATAGGATACGTCATGTGGCAGTTTGCTTTGCAGTTTATGATAGTATTTTCTGCCGGTATCAGCCCGATAGTGATACTAGGTACTGGATCGATAACCTCATCAATGAGCAGATGGAATTTGGTCCCAGAGTTGCATCTTTTTTCTTGGTGTTTATTCCCTAGGAGGTCCACCAGCAGGTCCCGGAGGCGCTCTCGTTCCAGGAGCCGCAAGCGCTCCAGAAGCCCCAGGAGGAGGAGGTCTCGCTCCAGAGACAGGAACCGACGCTCCACCAGCAGATCCAGGTTAGTGACTCATAAACATATGCCCAGCTGTTAGGGCCTGTTTTGTGAACTGCATTGTTAAAAATAAAGGTGACACAAGCTTTGAGCGTCGCCAGGTGGTGCCCAGTCTAATCTGCAAAGGGCCAGTGTGACTACAGGTTTTCATTTCAAACAAACAGGAGCAAACCTGAGTTCACTTGTTTTGTTAGTTGCTCTCAGTCTTCAAACAGCTGATCATGTGAGCTCCTGCGTGATTGAAATGAAAACCTGCAGCCACACCGGTCTTTTGCGGATAAGATTGGACACCCCTGACATAGGTGAACCACTTTTGTTTGGAAGAGAAATGTGTGACTGAACTTTTAACGGTTTGAAGAACCTTCACAGTTCAAGGATTTTTTTCTAGAAGTGGACGTTCCTTAAACTTTAAAAAGGTTCTTCACACTCGCACCTCCTGTACAAAGATGGTTCTCTGAAAACCATCTACTTAAAGGCTTTTTAGGGAACCAGAAGTGGTTTTTCCATGGGATTGTGTAAAGGGGAAAAACCCTTTTGGCACTTCCCCCGTTGTACTTACAGAAAATTTAATCACCATGCTCTGCAAGCTAGTAATCTACTGTATATTTCTATTTAGTATCATTGCTGCTTGTTTTTTTGTTTCCCTTGTCATGTAATATAACGATGCATCTTGTTTGTCTTTAGTTTCTCTGAATATTATGCAGCCACTTTGCTTTATAAGAACTTCATTTTTAGCTGTTCGTTCTAATAAGGTGTACTAATCTATAAAAGGGTATTGGCTCATCAACCTCTGTCATGATTTCTTTATTCTTAACGGGAAATGAGTCACTTTAGATGAGAGTGGAAACAGCAGAAATGTAAAGGTCATCCATATTATGCCAACCCTAACTCAGTTCTAATGTGACGGCAGCTTGGCTGGTGAAAGCAGGCTTATTAGTCCAAAGAACTGTTCTTACTGTGGTTGCCGGACAGCGTGTCAGGCAATTTGAGTGAACCAAGTGCTTAAATGTCAAACTGAACAGCTCTATTTTGGGGTTTGCATTGTGTGAAGTTTGTGTGCGTCAAAAGGAAATGGTTTAAGTAGCCTGACAGAAATATACACTTCTCTGTGAATGTGATTATGCAGCCATGCTGTTTCCGTCTTCGTACCAAGCTGCAGCCGCATAAGCTGAAGCACATTATCAGGGGTGCACAATGATATCAGAATTATTTTGGGATTAGCAGATAATCTCTAATTTTTTTTTAAATTGGCATTGGACTGATATTTCAAACTAATATTTGATGACTCTCTTATCGAGTTCTGAGACAGCAGATTGTTTAGATGCTGCTGGGTTACTTTGCTGAAATATCTGCATTTTATAAATTTTACTCCATTTTCAGTCTCACAGAAATAAGTGTGGTATTTTACAATTGTTTGTATCAGTAGCAGCAGATACGTACTCGGAAAGAAATATTGGATTTTGGGATTTGTTCACATCTCATATCAGTGCATCCCTAATAATTGTAACTTCACTAGTGTGGCAGTCTAAGAGACGTTAACCTCTCTCTCTCTCTCTCTCTCTCTCTCTCTCTCTCTCTCTCTCTCTCTCTCTCTCTCTCTCATATGAATTTCCATTACTAACTGAAACATATGTTCTGCCCTGATTGGCTTATAGAGTGTTTAGCTGATTTGCATGGGCCATGCCTGAGGTCTGGCTGTTGTTCACCAGAATAAATGTGGCATGCACAATGGAAATGAACCCATTGGCGTCATGGCTACCATTCAACCGTGCTTACAAGCTGTTACTTGGAATAGAAGGAGACGTCAGGTACAGGGAGCACAACAAAGGGCCTCCATGAAGGTGCTTCTGTTTTATTCTCAGGGATAGAAAGAAAGAGGAAAAAGACAAGAAACGCTCTAAAACGCCTCCAAAGAGCTACAGCACCGCCAGGAGATCTAGAAGCACGAGCCGGTAAATGTTTTTAACCTCAACCATCTTTTCCATGCTCCAGCTGGAAGACTCATGCTTAGTTGTAGTATCATGCAGACATAGACTTAACCTGAAACCAAACCCATCCATCCATCCATCCACCTTCATTTTGTGTAAATGCATGAGTAGATTTAACTTTGCATGTAACTGCTTGTGTGTTAAAGTGACCAGCTGGTGTTAGTGATTGCTGCTGCTGTTTAATTGATCTTTTAAATGTTTGAATTGCTTACTGAACAGTTTGGGTAAAAGACAAATTCTACTAGAACAGCTTTGAGTTTTTCTTCTAGACAGTACAGTCTTTATATACAGAACACTAGCATTAATAGTTTGTCTTAGTTATTTACTTCATTTAGGTTTTACTTGCTTTTTATTCCACTTTGCAAAAAAACTTGGTTGTTTGGAAAAGGGGAAAGTTATCTGTAGGTTGCTTGCAGTATTCAGAAAGACTTAAGATTTGTATGTTGACTTTCAAATTAGCCTCAAACCTCCACCTTATTAAGCATCCTCACTTAAAATGGCTATTTTAATGTAATAGCAGCTGTGAATTCTACTTAAATGATGTGTCAGTTTTTTTGAGCTTGAATTTCTGCTGTATTTCATTTCACTGTCTATTCATACTGTTGTCAGTTTATATTTTATTCATGTTTGTTCTCCTTTTTCCTTTTTTTATTGCAGGCGGCGCAGAAGGAGTGTTAGCCGATCTCCCCGAAGATCTCCAAAGAGGAGAGCGTCCAGGTCCCCGTCACCAAGAAAGTAGGTTTTACATAAGATGCGAGAGATGAGGGAAATGTATGCTTGAGTTGAAGTAACTGTAGATGCTGCTGATGTTGCTAGATATTCATGGATGTACTAAAAATTCTTACAGACACAAGAAGGAAAAAAAGAGGGATCGCGAGAGGGAGAAGGATCGAGAGCGCGACCGGGAGAGGAGATCGGAGAGAGAACGCTCTTCCAGCAAAAAGAAAAAGAGCAAAGACAAGGACAGGGAGAGAGAAAGAGAGAGAGAGAGGACGTCTGACAGTGAGAAGCGAGATGTGAAGGTATTATCAAAAATGAAGGTTATTTAAAAAAAAATTCCAGACACTGAATAAAGAGGGGCTCATAGAAATTATTTATGAATTTAAGTGAATTATAGTTGTTGGTTATAGTGAAATTCATTTAGTGCATGTATTGACTTGCATTAGTTGTGCAGTGTGCTGAGTATTGAAGAGCAAAACAAATGTATGGGGCTATCCTAACAGCTGGTTATGCTTGTAAAGTGTAATGAAAACACTCAAACTAAATAAATCTACAGCCTCCATTTAATAAGCTCCTTAATCTGAGCTGGGTATTGAAATTTAGTACCATTATGGTACTGATTTGAATTGCTTCTGTGCTTCAGATTTGTTTGTGAAAATTGTTTTAATTTCCGAATTTCAGTACCTAAGCAAGTCTGGTCTTCGCATCTGTCGGTAGGCATTCATGTCCCAAAATATGTGCTGCTGCTTGCTTGTCTGAAATAAATTTTATAGGCATAAATCTCATGGATGCTTCTTGAATAAGCTGCAGCCTTAGTAAATAAACCCATTTCAGCACTTCACTCATTTCTGGTTTAATCCACGCCCATTTTCAGTTTGTAGTTTAAAAGGTAAAGGAATTTAAATGTGAGGGGGAAAAAGTATCGTTCAGTAATCGGTACAAAAATCAAGGTGTTGGTATCAAAATTGAACAATGTGGCTGTTCTTAATGAACGCATGTTCTGGTGATGTAACTTCCGCTCTGTTTGCAGGTGACCCGAGACTACGATGAAGAAGAACAGGGCTACGACAGTGAGAAGGAGCGGGAGATGAAAGATTCAGAAGATTCCGGCTCTTCTCCTGCCCGTTACGTGGATGACGGTGAGGGCAAACACAGCCCAAAGCAGTCCAAGCAAAACGGTGATGACCACCATGAAGAACAAGACATGGAAGTTAGCGATTGAGGCCCTGTAACAGAATGAACTTTGAGTTGAATGAGGAAAGTTGCGATTACTTTTGTCGGCTATGTATCTTCTTTATTAACCTCACAGTTTAACGTTACTCTTCGACCCTCCCTTCTTACCCTCGTGCTGATTTAGAGTGACTGGACTGGGTTAACTAGTAATAATTATTGGAACACAGGATAGAGGCTGCATTTCCTTCCTTCTGTTGTCACATGTATTTGCCTTACAAAAGGGAAGGAAACAGAAGCATTCAGTTTAACTGCTGACCGGTCAGACAGCGCTCGGTATGTGCATCTTTTCTGTCATCTCTCCTCGCCAGTACTTTTTCTTTTAAGTGTTCGAGTGACTGTCAAACAAAATGAGTTGCTTTTTTTGTCTGGTTCAGTTTTTTTCACCCTCACTCATAAAACTATGCCTGAGGTAACAGGACATGGTGTTGGTGTCCAGGAAAGTGTATTGTTTTGTGTTGGAAAACATTCTTGCCCCAGTTTATCTGTTTTGATACCGATTTGGAACATTTGTCATTTTAAATAGTGGGTTCATGATGTATGTGTATGATTAGTGCTTTATATCCTTAGGCATCATTCAGTAGTTGGTCATTCAGGAGTTCAAAAGTGTCAAGTGAAATTTTTATACTGTAAATAAACTCACTTGAGTGGGAAAAGGTGTTGCCTGAGCCCTTTTGTGTAACAGTTTTTTGTCTGGCTGCGCAAAAGAAGCAAGGCAGTCATGAATGTGTGAGTCAGTTTGTTTATTTTTCAGAATAGCAGGGGTCTTAAAGGGGAAAGGTAAACAGTCATTCAGAGTGGTTTGATACAAATTGTTCACTGTAGAAAAGCTTACAGTCTAGGATTTTTAAAAACATTGGTGCCAATGGGGAGCCGGGAGTCATAAAACACAAATGTAGCCGTTTTATTTTCTATCCAAAACAACCAGTGAATCTACATGTCTTCTGAGATTTTCTATGTAATGTTGATACCGGCAAAATACTAGTAAATCTGGAAAAATAAGTTTTTTTGGGGGGACTATTTAGCCTTAGAACACCCTGCATGTACCCCTCCACTACAAATAGATTTTAGTAAAAGAACATTCTAGGCCTAAACCTTTGAAACTTTTAGAGGCATTAAACTCAAAAGTCTGATTGCTATTTCCACCACTGTGAACAATTCTGACTTGAGAGTTTCTGTACAACGGAGCATTTCTCACGCCACTCTAAATGACCGTTTATATCTTAAGATTAAGTGACACTTGCCCGGTGGGGTGGGCAGCCCTATACGCAGTGCCCAGTGAGCAGTTGGGGCTTAGGTGCCTTGCTCAAGGGCGCTTCAGTCCTGTACTGTCAGCTCGGGGGATCGAAGCTGGTGACCGTCACAAGGCTGGTTTTCTAACCTCCCAGCCCATGACTGCCCCACACTTTAACACTGATTATTCCTCAGTTTTAAAATATTAGTGGAATTGCCTTTAAATCTCACTTTACCTCACTTCTATTTAATTATCTTTTTTAAGAGAGGATTCAGTGCATCATGAAATCTCAGGTTTTTATTTAGTCTCATCAGTGAATTCACTATTTAGGCACTAGTGTACTGTAGACAGAAACACAGTTATTTCTCTGGGTTTTTATATTTAAAAATAGCCTGAAGATTTGTTTTTGGCCAAAAGTACATGAGCACTTTACTGAGTATGACGTGACCAGGCTGCACCACTTATGCAACTTGTGCTGTATGTCTAACCTGCTCCTGAGCCGGCTAAGTTCATAAACACCTCTTGGACTAATCATAGCGAGCTTTCCACCAATCAGGGACTGAAGGAGGTGGACCGCTCCGGTCACTTTTTTGTCTTCATGTTTGTGGTGTCAATCGTGAATAATATTGCTTTTTAGCAGAGGAAACAAATCATACTGCACAGATATGAAGAACATAAAGCAATTATTACTCCAATAAGCACTAACATGCAGGCAGTGGGCACAGACTGACTGTTGAACCCAGGCAGCCTTAAACCATTATATGTAGTTTCATGCTGTGAGGTTGCATTAAAGGGGAATTTCACTAGTTTTTCAAACGTTCTGCATAATTCAGTCATTGAAGTGTCACCAGTCATTCGGGGAGGTTTAATGTGAAACGATTAATTTCTAAAGCAACAGACTCAGATTTCTTTACAGTGGTGGTGACAGGAACCAGGTTTGTGATGTTTACATTTTTTTTATTTGCTCTCCAAAACAACCAGTGAACCTACATGTGTCTTCTGAGTTTTTATATGTAATGTTGATAAAATACTGATAAATCTGGGGAAAAAAAAGTTTTCTTTGGGGACTATTTTACCTTGCAATGCCCTGCATGTACCTTTCCACCATGAACAGTTTTAAAAATACATGTTTTAGGTCAAAACCAGCTCTCAGAACTAGCAAAAAACAGAGTTTGATGCATCAGGCAGCGTATTCGTTACCACCGTTTTCTATGAGGGAGCTTTTAGAAGCGTTCAACTCTTCAGACGTCTGGTTCCTATCACCACCACCGTGGTGTCAACAATTCTGACTGGGTAAGTTTCTCTAGAATGATGTGTTTCACATCAAACCACTCTTTGTTTACATCAATTTATGCAGATGTTTTGAATGAACAGTAGAATTTCACTTTCAGAATAAAGTGAGATGCACCAGGAACTTCTGTTTGTATTGTGAAGTGAACTTGTACCGTTTCAATATAATAAGAAACAACAACGAATCAAACTGAACTGTTACATTTATTTCTGTATGGTGTACAGTAGAAACTCCAGCCTGTTCCTATCCATCTTCCATCACACCAGAGCCACATAATCCAAGTTCTGCAACAACTCGGGTGTGTGAGGAAAAGAAATAGACTGGATTGAGAATTTCTGCTTGATAGGAAAATACTGTGTGGCTTACATGCCAACTGTACAGTCTGCAATATGTTTTTGTCTTTACATCATTTTTACGTGGGTAGTTTCCATGGTGCAAAACACAGAACAGAGCAAAAAAGAAATGAATACTGCTGAGCAGTGATGCTAATGTAAATGCTTTATGAATATTCACAAGACAATGACACACAGAGTGACAACTTTGCCACATTATATTTATATAAAAATACAGAGGGATGTTACCATCGTGAGCTGTAGTGCTGGTACAGTTTCTATACTTCAGCTACAGGATCTTCTCAGGCTATAAAAACACCCCACAAACGCTACATTTAGTTCTTAGTGCAGCATGTGAATGAGTTATTATATAAAGTATACAGAAAAGGAAAATGGTGAAGGCATCAGCTCGTCCTTCAGACACTATAAAGCATAAAAGTTTGATCTAGTATTGAAGGGGAATCCCACTGATTTTTCAAAATTTCTGCATAAGTTAGTGGTTAAGATGTAAACAAAGTCATTCAGAGTGATTTGATTTGAAATTGCTCATTACAGAGAAACTTACTCAAATTTCTTTACAGTGGTGGTGACAGGAACCCTGGGTCGCAAAGTCTATATGGCCATTTTATTTACTTTCCAAAACCACCACCATGTGTCTTATAGGTAATGTTGATAATTAGTTAAATGTGGTTTTAGGCCAAAATGTTCTCTCAAAACTATCATAAAACAATGTCTGAGACGTCAGGCGGCGTATTCATAATCATTTCTTGTAGTAACTTTCTGTGAAGGAGCTTTTAGAGGCATTAAACTCTTCAGACGTCCGGTTCCTATCACCACCACTGCCTAAGATCCTCTAGAACCGAGCATCTCCCATCAAACCACTCTGAATGACAATTATTTAATTATGTAGAGATTTTGAAAAATGGCTGGAATTCCACTTTATTAAGGAGGCCATCATTTGTGGAGCAAGTCTTTTCAGATCAGTGCAGGTTCAGCAAGTGGTATTCTAAATGTTTGTCAAAACACTTTTGAGCATAACTCCTCACAGTATATTCATTAAGTCTGTTGTCATTGAACAGTAACATGGTCTTTACACGAGTGTGAGAGAAATTAATTGAGCATCTGAATGCCTCTGTAGTACGACTATGTGTAAGATACATATTCCAGAAAATCATAATTTGAGAAAACAGAAACAAGACCAACCCTAAAAATATAGGTTAAAAAAAACCCCCAAAAGCAAGACTTTTACTTTGATATGTCTGAATGCCCTCGACTTTTTTTTTGCTGACATGTTCAACAGCCTGTTTTACTAGTTCAGTAGCTCAATAGCTTTTTTATGAGACTCTATTCAAATACAGTGATGCCAATCAGTGCATAGATCCACAAACTCAGTGCGCCTTCACTAATACCTGACAGTACCTTGTTCATTAGTACCTCATTCGTTTTGGTTATTGCTTTCTGAAGGAGTATTTCAGTAGGGGAGAAGCTGAAGGAGTGAAGCTTAAAGGAGCCCAGGACACTATAAAGAATAAAGGGGTAACTGTATAATTGTTGGGTAGCGATCAGGTCTGTGGGACATTTCTTTGATGCATTTTTGAATTACATGTATATTTTGAATTGTTATCTTAACACATGAGTATAACTTAACAAATAACATGACACACCTTGAATACCTTTACACTATTTTGCAATAAATGCTTATTTGTCACAGTTCTTTCCTGACGATAAAGGAAAAACTACAAAAAAGAATTTGTTTTTAAGGTCACTGTTCATTTTTTGGCAAAACAGAAGGCAGACAAAGGTATCGTTTCTGCAAGATGCCATCGTGTTATTTAGTTCAGTGCAGCAGTGGTCACCAGTTCTGCTCCTGGACATCTTATCTTCCTGCTGAATTGAGCCCTGGCCCAAATCCACCGAATCTAATATGTGTTCAGTTTGGGTTGGAAGTGAATTCTTTAGAAAGGTAGGTCTCCAGGAGCAGCGTTGATGACCACTGGTGTACAGGTCAAGGAGCGAGTGGGGGCGAGAGCTGTGCAGTGGCACTACCAACAAAGGAGGCCTTAAAGTTTGAGAACTGCTATTGTGTGATCATTGATTTATAATAATCAGAAAAAATAAATAACTAAAAATATTATATATATATATATATATATATATATATATATATATATGTATATATGTATATATGTGTATATATATATATATATATATATATATATATATATACATACACACACACACACATTGAGATTCACGAAAGCTTTCTTAAGAAAAAAACTTGTGAAGGTTCTTCCCTTATTGACCAGGGTATATTTTGGTTTTTCCATCTGAATTTATATGACCAAATCGTGAGGCAAATTATTCAGTAACTGCATGAAATAACAATTTTTTATTTCATTTATTTTTTTGTAGCTCCCCTCAAATTAACATAAAGTGTTTTATGATCATACACATACTGCTATATGCTTACAATTTACTGCTGAAAGCCAAAAAATCTTAGATGCTCTTTGTATTATTTTATAAAAAATAATTTTTACAGAGCAGATCACTGAAGAGACGCCATCTGTTTATAGTTTATAGCCCAGATTTGTGGAAAAATGGGTCGACTTTCAGTAGAAAAAAAAAAGTGAGTTCAGCTTCTTTTATTATAAGGGTTTAAAATTACATCACCCATCTATTTGACTGGAAAGAAGACAGTTACAGCTCTCATGACACCCACCTTTTGAATGTAGCTTATGAAATCTGAAAGTTATGAAGAATATGACGAAGTGCGTTTTGGAACCACCGGTGGTCTCAAGGAGTTGAAAAGGTTAAGACAAACACTAAAAAGTTCGTAAGAGTTTTCTTATATGCAATTCTCGAGTTAATTATCTTGTGATCTCAAGATCAAGTTGTTATCTTGAGATAACAAGTTAATTGTTTTGTGATCTCAAGATAACAATCCAGAAAATTATAGCAACATCTTATGGCCTCTCCAGACTTCCGTAAATCTTTTGTATATTATTTGCAGTATAATAAGTGTATCAGAGAAATATCCCATGGACAATAAAACGTAGCCACACTTACAGAACGACTCTAAGGTGATTTCGGCTCCTGAACTGTTAGTACTTATTTGTTAGAATTGATGATTAGCATTTTAAACAGCAGCGTTGTTTCCTAGTAATCCTGACCAAAAACACGCAGCAGCAGCATCAGATGAAGGAACTACAAAAGAGCTGATCCTGAAGAACTTTACTGCTTCACACACACAATATGCTCGTACCTCTGCGAGTACTGAGTGTTTTCTATGGCTGGTGAGTAGACGCAGTCCTGCAGCTAAAGGTCCTGAGCTTTAGAACAGTAACACACAATCTCCTCTGTTGGCACTGGAGGGAGATAATGAATATCCAGAGCATAATTCACGATCCATTTCCTCACAACACACGCAGCATACACACAAACACACACACACACACACATAAACACACACACACACAGATACTGTTCACAGTTTTCACTGAAGCAAATGACAAAAATAAAGAGTGGTTTCACCACAAATGACTGAGGTTAGGAGGTCTATCCCTTTTATATCGAGATAATCAAACAAAAAGATATATAATAATGTTTTAGTTGATGGTGTAAGATCTCTATAAGCCTTGTCCCAGTTGGCACACTGCTGTTCTGAGGTCCTCATTTGCACACGAGGTAAGGTGTTCATAAGCGTCCTCTATGCAACCATATTGCGGCCTTTGGTGCAAATCACATCATTGTAGACTCAGCAACAGTGTTTGAATCAAAATTCCTCTTGATACAGGTTCCAATCAAAGTTTGCTTACAGCTGCCTAGCCAACATGACAGAGAGGATGACATACAGGGGTGAGATAAAATGCATTTATCGGTGTAATTAATCATTAAGCTATGTTACATATTTAATCTGGATTGGGCCACTGTATATAACCAAGTTTGCTCATTTAAAAAATTATGCAAGTAAAAGTATGATCACTAACATACTTTGGCTGGATATGGGGAGGAAAAGTACAGACCTACATCATCTGCTGTTTGTGCTCATACAGTCTGATTCTGATAAATAATATAAAAAAAAATGAATGTGGGTAAGACTCCACACTTTATTGCTGTACAAGCTCCAATGTGCATTAAAGCTTTAACTGGACCACAAATTTTGGCCCAGTTAAGTACAGCCTGAAACCTTGCTGTCTGAATCCAACATCAAGCTGTTAAGATTTGAGTCAGAACCTGACCCAAGCCAGACAATATTTTGTCAAAACCTGACCCGACCCGAAACACATGAAGTTTTGCGTCCCAGGTATGTATATATATATATATATATATATATATATATATATATATATATATATATATATATATATATATAGATAGATAGCAAAATTCTGTCTGAAACTGACCCAAACCAGCTCGTTACCCGAAATACTGAACATAATACTCCTCATGTTTCTAATGATGCAATGATGCCGCCCGTTATTTTACCAGGTATAATGACAATAACATATTTTTGGCGAAAGACATTAAATATTAACTTGATTTACTGTTTTGTATCAATTCCAATACACGGTTAAGTTTTGACCACAAACAGCAGGGGGCGATCTGAGATCTGTCCTTCCCTATTGTATATGCATAGTCTGTATATCACATGGATCTGTCTCAAATGTGCACTTTATACCTAGTGCCCTTATGTCCTTAAAGGTCTTTAGCGCTATACATCCGTACATTGTTGCCGTCACCAAAGCGTGGACATGGAGGAGGGCCGCAGGGCTCAGTGTGCCTTCTGGGACAGGCTTATAGATTGCTAACCAAGAGGCTAAAGGTCAGGGAATCGGTTAGGGTCTTCTTTATAATCGGCAGGGATGGTGAAGACGGACTCTTCAAACTCAGTGTAGCGGAACTCCTGAAACGTCACCGTGGCCGTGATGGTCGGAAACACTGGGACGTCTTAAAATTCAGACATGTGGAGAAAAAGAAAGTTAATGCCTCCTTCGAGTTTCATGATGTCAATCAGAAAAGCACCAAACCGGTAACCGGAAAAAGCAGGGAACTTGGAACAGAACTGTCTTCTGTGTTAGTGATGATGTGGATCCCCACTTGCAGATATTAACTGTCAAGCGGTTCAAATCAAATCGAGAGTGTACCCTTACCGAGTTTGACTGGAAATCCCGGAGGAAGCTTCATCTGAACGAATTCTCTGAGTTTGTTGAAGTGTTTGAAGGGGGCAATGACCTCCAATACATTCAGCAAGCTAGAAAAGCAAGCACACTCCAATGAATTTCACATCATATCTTTGTGCACTGAAATCTCTGTTTTTGGGAAAAAGGTTTTGTTGTAAAGAAAATGTTCCTTGTTTTTGTGCCTGAGCTTTAGAAGGTTTGGAACACTCTTTTTACTGAATCACTTATCGCTGTTCATCACAACTTTATGAACAATCAACAAAACCTTACCAAGCACATATGCCAACAGTCAAGCATGGATTTCTTAAAGCATTTAAAATAACTAAATTTTCTTCTATTGATAGTATGAAATTTTGACTAATACTGGTACATTACTGTCATCTACTGTAGCTACTGACTATTACGTAGCCTCTTTCTGCAGGCCTGTTAGTAGCCACTCTATCAGCAGAAGGGAAACTGATATTTATAAACAATATAACCAAATAAAATACTTCTGTTATCAGATTAACTAGGACACTGTTATCTCTCTGAGTGTGAAATGATGTGACTGTGTTGAGCTGCTAATGAGCAATGAGGGGCCAGATCCCCCTGCTGTGAAGGTCCGTGTACCTTCTGTTCATTTGATTTTCATTTTAAAAACCAGTACAGAAAAACAGCAAATGGGTCGATTCTTGCTTCTGGTTCTGTTATTGTCAGTGGAAAAATCAAGAAATAGCTTTGTTTTTCAGTTTCACAGACTAATCATAAAATCAAATATCAAACAATTTTCTTTAATACTCATAGTTCCTTCTATTACTATTAAGCTTTATCACCTGTCTTTAAAGCACTTGAGCGGCCACCAGCATAAAAAATCTCTATAAATCAAGATATATTATTATTATTATTATTATTATTATTTCTGTTCTAAATGACTACACAAAACCCTTAAAATCACAAAATATGTTTCGTGTTACCAACTGAAGGCTCTTATACATCATTGCTACCACAAAAAAACTTTCCAACTCCACTTTTGTTGTGTTTTTTTTTTACTCTTTTCCATAATTTGAGAATACCAGTTACTCTGTGCATTGTGTTTAAATTTAATGACAAATGGATTAACAGAAATGGTCAAAAATGACTTGGAAAAAGTCCTGTTACATTGACTTCGATTACAAGTTACCATTTTGGAAATATGACAACAATGACATGAAGTGAGTCTTTAATGTAAAATGTTACCACTTTATTCTGTAATTGGAGTATATCTTTACCCCGAAGCACTGAGAAAATGCACTTACGATTCGATGCCCAGTGGAAAGTCTCGGCTCATGGCTACGGTCGCCTTGAAATTTTTCCTGCTCTCCTTACACACCTGTTCTCGGCCCAGAGGAGGAGCCCTGTGACAAACATCCACACATATCACACTGCAGAAGACAAAATACTAAAACAACATCTGCAATGTTTACAAATTTGTTCAATCCATGAAAACCACTGAAGTGTGCTGTGAACTACTGCACTCTCGGACTGGGATCTGATTTCTGTTTCATCTGCGCAAAGTCAGCAAAAAGCAGAATGCAAGAAGCTAGAGATGATTTAAGTGACAGTTGAAGTGCTGTGACTTACTGTCCCACTTCTGCCGAGATGTATTCCTCCCAGGACAGTGTGTTGGGCTCAGGGGCAGAGAGTGACTGTCTTCTGACAGGCTGTGGAACAAATTCAGACAGAAAAATAAAATATATTTTATTTTTAGAGTTTTTGACTTTTCATTTAACCCTCTAAGGTGCCCCATGGTGTATATGCCATGAGTCACCTCTTCTTACATGTTGTTTAATTATAGCTCACTGAAATAAGCAGAGAAGTTCGGCCAAAAATGCTTGCGAGTGCTCGCGAGTCAAAGAGGAGATTTAATTTAAATTCTATAATTTAACGGAAAAAAAATTCTGTGTACTTGTTTTGTTAAGAATACATCTAATGTGAATGTAAATAACTATGTAATTATGTAATAATTATGCAGTGGAAAATCATGACTATTAGAGCTTCGATTCAGCCCCCCCCAAAGATGGCTTTTCACATGAACATTGTTTGGCAGTTCTAGATTAACAGATACTTGAAGCTTCTAAAGGACATTCTGCGTTTTACTTTAAACACATGACCTAAATATTAGTATACAGTTTACCTTGTAGCAGTTTGACAGTGACTCTGAGTAGAGTCTTGGATAGAGCTGTGGCCGCTGTTTTCTGTTACTAAAAACTCATTAATTACTCACAGTCAGTGACTTATCTAGGACTTCTAGAAGGCCTATGGTGACATTTTTCTAACAAAATCGACCCCACTCATTTAAAAATCACAACATGATCTGCAGATTCTAGTTGGACAGTAGTCACACAGCACACGGCCTGTTCACCATACTGCCATCAGGCAGGAGATACTGCAGCATCCAGGCTAGAACAACCTGGCTAATGAACAGTTCCTACCCACAGGCTGTCAGCCTTCTGAACAAGCTGTGAAGCTCTGAGTCCTTCCCCAATACAATCTCATATATATATAAAAAAACTTGATACTTAAGATTCCACTGTGACTTTGTTATTATGTTTAACGTTAGGCCTCACTTCATTAGTTACATCAACTGAGATAACACAGAGAAAACCCATTTCTGATTAACTAAACATTTTTATAAGCTAGCAGAAATTGTTAGGCCTTCTCTGAAGCCCTAGAGCACCTTGACGGTTCTCTTATGTTATAATGTATAGTAAAATTACAATTATGACTCTAGATTTCCGACAGTTTTCGCATGTGACGTGTTGCTTTTCATCCAAATCGTTCCCACATAAAAAGTGTGAATAACATGGCACAACATTTCTCTATGTATCCTGGTTGTATCTGGCAAACCATCATAAATTCAAACATAGCTGTGTATCGACTCTCATATCATCTCATCCAAAGCTCACCTCGAAGGTCTGCTCTGCAAGACTGCCTCCTTTGCTCAGGCTCTCCATGATGGCTTTATTGCGCAGAATGTCCTCCTCACTGAGGTGTTCTCGCCTCTTCCTGGACTCCAAAACCAGACCCTTCACTGTGTAGAAATCTCCCACAAAGTTCCCTACCTTCTCCTGCAATGCACAAAAGTGAGCACTTATTGTGGGCTTAGGTAAAAACAGATATAATAATAATAATAATAATAATAATAATAATAATAATAATAATAATAATATTATTATTATTATTATTATTATTATTATTCTTTATTGAGCAGATATATTGTGATTTCCAAATTTAATTACACATTCTCACAGGAAGTCAAACACTGTAAAGACAAAACACCACAATCTAAATGAAATAACTGCACAATTACAAATATGAGAAAATGAGCCAAAATAATCTAGGCAAGCCTAAACAAATCTGTTTTTAATCTGGGTTTAAAAAAACCTAGCAAGGTTATATTCCTAATGTTTTCAGGAATGCTCTTCCAAAGTTTAGGAGCTATATAAGAAAAGGATCTTCCACCAACTGAGTGGTAAGTGATCTTTAGGGTTTGCAGTAAGCCTGCCTCAGCTGAGCTAAGCAGTCTGGACAGGTAAGCTCAGCCATTAAGAGCTTTGAATGTTATAAACAAGAACTTATAATCAACACAGAACAGGAATCCAGTATAGAGTGAATGAGACCAGAGAAATATGCTCAGATGTTCTTTTCCTGCAAGCACACAGGTTGCTGCTTTCTGAATTAGCTAGAGACTATTTAGAGATACAGGCAGGGCAACCAGCCAATAACATGTTACAGTAGTCTAATCTAATAGGTGTGAATGCAGGGACTAACTTCTCAGCACCCTGTAGGTTTAGTATGTGTCTTATGTTTCTTAAGTAATAAAACACAGTCTTAGAGATATTACTGGGCACTCAAAAAGGACTCAAATGATAAACTAGCATCTAGTGATGCTCCAAGGTCTTTAATTTTAGCTTTTTGTTGTGCTGAAAAACCACTGAGGACAATGACAAAATCTGCAACCTGTAAGCACTTTTAAAAAATATTCCCATTCAGTTCAAAATCTTAACACAGCAGGAGGAATTTTTCCCATTGCGTGACCATCACAGCAACCTGCGACTGATCCCAAGGGCTGTGGGGATCATTAAGCCAGAAGATTATGAAGCTTAACATGCTTCTACTGATGAGACAAGACGCTGCGTAACTTTTACGGTCTTCAAGAAACTCAACTGTGAGCACAATAGCAATTATATCTGCACAACAAGCTGCAAATCAAACCTGAATCCCACTGTCTACCATGCTGACATATTTAGGCTGAAATGATTACCGTCTTGTCCTCCCTGAAGAGCCAGCCGATCTGACTGCGGGCGAAAGAGATGGACTTGGTGGAGAGAGTGGCTGAGTAGATATCGCTGCTCATCAGAATATCCACCTCCTCCTCTGTATCCATTTCCGTATCCTGGAGAGAAGCGGGAAGGGCAAGGAAAAGTGCTCTAAACGGCCTGTACAGCATATACAGTATATATCCTTTAATTTGTCAACCTGAAGAGTATCACAATGTAGGATTTCACAGTTAACCAGATACACCTAACTAAAAGTCAAGCCCGTCCAACAGGAAAAGAGGTAGGAGGTGTTTGTACTGGAAAGTCCTCAACTGGAGCTTAAATTATAGAGTAAAACTGAGAAACCCCGTCTTGTGAAACACAACTTGTTTTAAAGTTCAGATTTGTGTACAAGGAAGTATAGAAAACAAATAACCTCTTAACACGGAGGCTTATTATTCATCTATTAGTCTATTCAGTAATATAAATTATTTAGTAACTACTATGAAATCAGTTTGCAAGCTATGCAGGTCTAGTTCCAGAGCTAAATTACTGGGGGTACATGAAAAATAAACAGGGATGCACGCTAGAGAAGTGCATGATTTTTTTAAAAAAATATAATAAAATACACAGCTGCCATTTATTCATGACTATATGATTAAAAAATTAATAAGTTCATGAAATTAATGGAATATTCCACACTTCAATGGCTGATGTGCAGAGATTAGTTGGGTGATATGACAATATTTATCATTATGGTGATAAATTACATCACTATATGTCACAGTACACTTTTCTGACCATGTTGTGGATATGGTCAGTACTTAAAAAGAACTGCATGTTTGATTAAAAAAAGAGTATAATTAGTCCTGTTTAATGGGATTTAGTGCAGCGCAGTGTGTGAAATGTTGAATATAAGTAATTGGAATTATAGTTTTGATAGTAATTTTAAAATGTGGCACAACTTTGTCTGTTCTAATGTATCAGATGTCAGAAAAAATAAATCTTGTGACACACTGTGTTTCATAAAAACTTCCTGAAGTATCATAATATTACATATTGCCATATCGCCCACCTCTATTGCAGAGATTATCACATAAATTGCTAATTTGTGGATTTTACTAAGCAAAAAAAAAAAAAAAAAAACACAACAGAGATATTCAAGTAGCATTGGCTAAAAAATGGTGCTAGTTATGTCTGATAAATTTTTATATTGATCGAGAATGCACAAACGTCTCAGACTTCATCAGTTGTACAAGTGCCGAATTAGTCTTCAAAGTACACCACCAGAGCACTGATCCTACCTAAGAGTTAGGCAGGCTGTTTAAATGTATTTTCCCGAAACTTCAACTGATCATGCACAAATTCAAACTGAGTGTGTAATGCATGCATTTGCACCGACACAGAACTGGCCCTGAAGCTATCTGGTTATGAAAGTGAGTAATTGAAGAGTAAGCCCGAGCCCTGTGTATTTAAGGGGTTAATCTGGTAAATTCCCTGGAATTCACTACTTCTCACCTCATGATGAATTCTCTGGTACACCTTGTGTTCGTTGTCCAGGACGATGAAGGCCTCGGCAGGTGGTGCTTCTCCGTTAAAGATGAAGCTGAGGTCGCCTCTCTGGCACTTCCTGTCACTGAAGTCCACAAGTGTGGTGTCTAACCTGCAGAGCCCACCAGCAGCTCAATTACTCAATTCTTGAGTTATTTGTGATCAGTTACACTATTCAGTTACTACTCAATCTTTAAAAACTGGATCTGTCATGCACATACAGAGTCAGAACCAGTGTTAGCGTTACAAAAGTGTCAGTAAAAGCTACCTGATATTGAGTCCCTGCTTGTAGATTTTGCAGGCATCGGATGGCAAAATTCGCGATAGAAGAGGCACTGAAAAGAAGAGAGGAAAAGTCAAATTGTGCAAGGACAAAAACTGTTTAGCAGAATTATGGAGCTCTGCATGTGCTGCAGAGAACTCATGCTAAATGGCACAAAACTTGACCAACATGACGTGCTAAAAAGGGATGCTGTTCCTTGACCAATTCCAAAGTCAAGACGTAAACTGATCCAACCGCAAGGCAGATGTGACTGTACACTATATGCTAGGTATGCTAGGTTGCATACACTGGCTGACTAATAAATCCACTAGTTGGCGCTGTAGGCACAACAGAAATTAGTTGTCTGAAGGTCACAAAGCCTAAAGTACTTTATTTGTGGTGAAATACTACAGGAAATTAAACCAACTGCACTGCAAACAGAGTAGGCTTGAAAGCCAGAGCTTGTAGGTTGCGAGAACCAGTGCCCCTGACACACAAAATGACCAGTCACAGATGTATGTTGTTTACTTTCCATCCACAGCTTCAGACAAAATTCAGGATCTTTTTAAAAAATGGAATAGCATGAATGTTTCCTGGTTCAGTGTCTAGGTCTGATGTGAAACACATCAGACTGATAAACCAGTGCACAGAAGCGCAGATAGCCAGAGCCAGTTCAAATTCTCAGTGAGAGGTGAGATTCTGAGAGCTGTGGTAATTTTAGCATGCAGTTTACATCAGACAGCCATTTACTACTGCAGGCAGAGTGTCTGAATCTCAAACTTACTGAGAACTTTTCAGCAAAGCACATCTCACACCTCAATCTGCAGCCTCTGCCAGCCCAGCCCCTATTAGCAAGCTATTAACTAACTACCTTCACTGACGTCCCACATAGTAATACGACTAGTCTAATACGTTTTTGAATGCCTTGTCAACTAGTCAAAATTAGTAACTGTGCAATTTGTACTATATTCACTCAGCAACATTCCAATGGGAAAATGATGGAATACATATTCAATGAACAGCCATAAAACCTACAGAGCAGAACAGTGTGTTAGTGTCAGCTTTGATGCTGAAAATGTCCTCACAGGTTTAGGTGTCTAGAGTAACTGCATAGTGATACCACACTCACCCCAACTCTGAAAGTCCCAGTGCAGCTCCAGGTAAAAGTCCCCAAGCTATGAAGTTATGAAAAAACAGCATTATTTGAAATATTATTAAAAAAGAATATTGAATATTGGGCAGAAAAGACAAATATGAAGGCATTTTAGGCTGTGCAGGCTTGAATTCCTGCTTACTGATTTTACAAAATGCCATAGTTGTTTATTTTCTGCTGAAACTACAGAATCCTGCTGTGTAAAACACTGTGTGTGTGTGTGTGTGTGTGTGTGTGTGTGTGTGTGTGTGTGTGTGTGTTTTACCTCCCACAGTGCTTTGAGCAGCCGAGGCCTTTTGTTCTCCACGTTTTCTCTAGACTGCTGTTTCAGCTTCCGCAGTAACGCTGTGACTAGAACAGGGAGAGGAATACATTAATACAGGACAGGATTCCCCCAGTACACACATAGACATACAGTCTAGTAACATAAAAACGGCATAGACTGCTGATGGTTCAGCTTCTTTATCAGGACCCCCATTGGCCATTCTAAATAAAAATCTATTCTACATAAATCCTATTATATTTAAATCTGTCCTATTTAAAACTAAGATTTTAATTGACATAGTAATGAGACAAATATATACAACATCATCATTTATATAATACTTTATATTGGGAGGTGTTTGTCCCAAATCCTAATTTCTAAATTTCAAATATTTCAATACTTATTTAATAATACTTACTTTTTTTTAATTTTTAATATGTGCTGTCCGAGGTGTCATGTCGCTACCGAAACACAGAGCTTTAATCCCTGTCCTGTCCTTGTCCCCTGTCCCTAATGGCCACATGGTGAGCAGTTAAATCCCATTGTTTTGAAGTAAATGTGTCACAAAGTCAAAAATCAGTGTGTAATATTAAGATCAGCTATTATCGAAACATCTTTTCTGTGATTAAACCTTTTTGTGTTTTAATGAAAAACATTATGATTTTATGTGTGATATTATTTTATTCGTGAATTTATGTAGAAACTGAAAAATGGTATTGTTTTTCAAAAAATATATATCCATTTTGAAACTGATGCCAGCAACACGTTCCAAAAAAGTTGAAGGACAGGGCCATATTTACCACTGTGCTGCATCACCTCTTCTTTTAACAACACTCTGTAGGCATTTGAGAACTGAGTAGACCAATTACTGTTGTTATGAAAGTGAATTTTTTTTTCCCATTCTTGTTTGATATAGGATTTCAGATGCTCAACAGTTCGGGGTCTCATTTGTCATATTTTTTGCTTCATAACGCACCACATGTTGTCAGTGGGTGACAGGACTGGACTGCAGGCGTGCAGGCGTTTAATACGTGCAATACATAGCTAGATATTGCCTTACTGAAATAAGCAAGGCCTTTCCTGTAACAAACATCGTCTGGATGGCAGCATGTTACCAAAAACTGTATATATCATTCAGCATTAATGCTGTCTTCCCAGATGTGCCAGTCACCCATGCCATGTGAACTACTGCACCCCTGTACCATCACAGATGCTGGCTTTTGAACTGTGCACTGATAACAAGGTGGCTCCTCTCCTCTTTAGCCCGAAGGATGCTGTGTCCATGATTTCCAAATCAAATCTCACATTCTGATTCTTCAGACCACAGGACACTTTTCCACTCCACCTCAGTCCATCTTAAATGAGCTGAAGCCCAGAGAAGGCGGTAGCGTTTCTGTATCCTGTTTATATATGGTTTCTTCTTTGCATGGTAGAGTTTTAACTTGCATTTGCGGATGCAGCGACAAACTGTGCTTAAAGACAATGGTTTTCGGAAGTGCTCCTGAGCCCATGCACGACGGAATCAATTCTATTTTTCAGTGCAGTGCCGCCTGAAGGCCTAAAGATCACAACCAGCCAATACTGGTTTTCAGCCTTGTCCCTTTCATACAGTGATTTCTCTGGACTCTCTGAATCTTTTAAAATTATGTAGCCTAGATGATGAAACACCCGAGTTCTTTGCTAATTTATGTTGAGAAACGTCTTTCACAGAGTGGTGAACCCCTTCCCATCTTTACTGTACTGAAAGACTCAGCCTCTCTGGGATGCCCTTTTTATACCCGATCATGTTACTGACCTGTGGCCAATTAACCTAATCAGCTGTGGCATGTTCCACCAGGTGTTTTTTTAACTTTACCAAATAACTTCACCAGTCTTTTGTTGCCTCCATCCCAACTGTTTTAAAATGTGTTGCTGGCATCAAATTCAAAATGGGCATCTTTTTCAAAAACAATACAACTTCTCAGTTTCAACATTTGATATGCTGTCTTTGTACTATTTTTGATTAAATAGAGGGTCTAAATGATTTGCACATCATTTCACTCTGTTTTTATTTACATTCTGCACAGCATCCCAACTTTTTTGGATGTATTATTGTATGTTACTCCTACTTTCAGTACACACATAGTTATAATAACTAGTGTAAAGGAAATGTCACAGAATGTCATAGATGCCACTGTATGTAAGTTATAGGGCTCCAGTCTCCCCTGTTACTCCTTTAGTCATGGAATAAACCAACCGCTCACAGCCGCAGGCACAAACTCAGGTAACCATAAAGGACACTAAAAACACCTTTGTCAGCAAATGAAATACGACCCTTATATAAAGAGTCTCCTTCCTCGTCCTGCATAGCAACTGCAGTGGTGCAAGGAATGGTCACTAACTCATGCTGAGGGTGAGAGTGTGCATTAATATATCATAGAAAGACTTTTAATGGACCAACAGACATGGTCCAGAACTGCTTGGAATTAAAGACCTTTACATTAACTTACATTAAAAGCAAAGAAGCATATCACACATTCAAAGCTGTTCTGCTATATATCACTTTTTAATAAAGAGAAATAGCACCTTGTGCATAGTATTACAGGATAGGGTTGCAATGAGCCTATTGTTTAAGTTAGGGGTGCCCAAACTGTGTGACGTCAAGCTTGTGCCTGGGCGCACTAGCCGAGCACCTTGTTAGCCTTAAGTTTTTTTTTTTAATTACATTACATTTTAATTCAGTTAAATTTTAAATATAGCGTAAAATAAATTTTATTTTTTATTTTATTTTATTTTACACTATATGTATTGTTTCTAAAAGTACTTTATAAAATCAAATCTTTCAGACAGGCCAAATCGAAAGTCTTTGCAGGCCAAAATTGGCTTGTGGCCCCCATGTTGAGCAGCCCTGGTTTAGATCCATGATGAAAAAAGAGAAATCGGCAGAACTTTGACAATGCCAAACGAGAGGAAATGGCTGAATGTAAATGATTCAATTAGTCAGTGAATCAACTAACAGTTGATGGATTAATCAATTATACGATAATCTTTAGCTGCAGCCCTACACCAGACTTCCTCACTAGAGATCAGAGGCAACGTCCACCAGTCAGAACTGAAATAAAGCTTGTCTAGTGGACAGAACGACTGCGCTGTGTCCAAGCAATAACATACATGGAGTGTCACAACAGTCTAATGTTTTCCGGTTTTAAACCTGCTGACTCAATTCATTAGCTAATTCTCAAGCCCTTGATGAGATAAAGCATGCAGGTCAGAACAGGGAAAAAATAAACTGTACACTGCCGTGGCCGCGGCTCAGTGGCCTAACGACTGGCAGTGCAGACAGGGCAACCACACTGGGACTCTAACGCCTATATCTCTACTTACACAATCTTAATAATGTATTTTAACTATTAGAATACCAATAGCGAGTAAACATGCAAATTGCAGTGTTTTTTTACTAAAGGGAAATTCTAGCAAATTTTTAAAATTTGTTTTACTATAGTTGATTTACGCAGGACACTGCAAGGCAAATAGTCTCCAAAGAAAACTTAAAAAAAAAATTCAGATTTACCACTATTTTACTATCATTAGCATTACATATAAACATTACAGTAACATTACATATAAAAAGTCATAAGCATGTACAGGTTCACTGGTGGTTGTGGATAGTAAACAAAATGGCTATATTTGTAAATAAACAGCTATATATGTGACTCAGCACCGTGTAAAAATGTTTCTCTATAATGACCCATTTCATATCAAAGCACTCTGAATGACTTTGTTTACATCGTAACAACTGAATTATGTAGTAATTTTGAAAAATTGGTGGAATTCTCCTTTAATTGTAGGCAATTTTTGCACTAGATCCCAGCTACATCTCTGTGGTCTTACTGCCACTTACTCATTTGTCTGTCCCCATAGCTGATGGCCTCGGCAAGGGGGCTCCACCCGAGGGCATTCTTCACTTTCACAGGTGCATTGTGGGCCAGAAGCAGATGTGCACACTCTGAAAGAGAAACAAAGCATTGAAGTAAATCATCAGACCAGCACCACAAGCTTTTCAAGCCCCACCCAATCACGCTGAAGTTAAACAGAATGTTTTGGCACAGACTGCTGTTTCAATGAGGTACAACACAGGGCAGCCAATCAGAAACAAGGTATTTTACATATACCAGCACAGTAACAAAAAAGCATGTTTACTGTAGAAACTGTTTATAAAATGATTGCTCTGAACCTGTGGGCGTATTTTGCTGCTGGTGAAACACTCACCTTTATGACCCAACATCACAGCCAGGTGGAGGGGTGTATTTCCTGTGGAAAACGGAGAGTCATCGAGACACTGCTGGTAATTATGATGTAAAACACATTCATTCCAAGGTCTGAATTACCTAAACCATATTTATCTGGCAATGCTTCCTGTTTTAGCTGCGGATAGAGCAGCTACCTGTTATCAGGAGCTGGGAGTTAAATCAGAACAGACAGACAGTGTTTACTTCTGACTGAAAATCGAACGTTAAGTGGTCGTAAACTCTTCTAATCAGGCCTGATCATGAGTTTTTTTTTCATATTTGCTCTATTTGGTTTCCCCAAACATTAACCTGCTTTGTGATTGTGTAAAGCTAATAAACTTAAAAAAGGTTTTGATTTAGGAGTGTCGTTTTTAGATTTTAATCCAAATCAAATCTGAAATTCAATTTGAACAAGCGAAAATGTTTTGGCATCAATAATAAACGGAATGGCAATTTTACTAGTATAAATGATATTTTAGCTATTTTAGCATGTAGGTTACTATTTCTGTTCTCACTAGTAAGAAAAAACACATTCATTATAATGGGAGAAACAGTTGTTACTAATATTAATTAGCTACATGTGATAATTCTATTGTCACAAGTAAAGTAAAAATGACATTTATCACGTTATTATTCTACACTCTTAAAAAAGATGGCTCTTCAAGGGTTCTTTAGTAAAGAAAATGGTTCTCTATAGAACCATTAATACTCAAAGAACCTTTTGCGTGATTAAAGGGTTCTTTGCATCATGACATAGTTCTTCAGATTAATGGAAAATGTGCTGCAGATGGTTCTATATAGCACCTTTTTGAAAATGGTTCTATATAGCACCAAGAAGGGTTCTGTTATTATGATGACAAGCTTGTAAGAACAGAGGAACCCTTTTTGGTGCTATATAGAACCATCTGCAGCACATTCTCCATCGATCTGAAGAACAATTTCGTGATTAAAAGAACCCCTTAATCATGCAAAAGGTTCTCTGAGTGGAGAACCATCTTTTTTAAGAGTGTATAACTGATTTGTCACTAGCGAAATCTGAACTCTTACACGTACAAGTCCAGTTCTTACACTACATTTTTACGAGTAACAACTCGATTTCCAGCAAAATCTGACGTGTGAGGTTATTTTTACACGCCCAACTCCATTATTTTAATAATTTGCATATCACTAATAAAATTTTACTTATTCAAACTGAACTTCTAATACGAAAACACGGTGAATGAACGGCTAAAACAGCGTTATATAACCGGCCCGTGTCTGAATGTACGTGTAGCCGCTGCAGCCGTTTCCAGGGCAACACATTCGCCAGCTCCTTGATCGAATTTTCCCGTTCCAGCTTAAATGGTGCAGAACCATTTAAGGTGGAACGGGAAAGCCCAACTTCAGCCTCGCGAAAATCTCACCGTGTACGTCCTTCTGGGCGATGTTTTCAGTGCGGATTAACGAGGAGAGCCGCCGCACGTCGCCCTTATAAACACACTCATGGACGGGGAATCCGGACGAGGCAGTCACACCGACGGCGGGGCTCTTCTTGCTGCTCTGCCTGCACTGGTTGTTGTTGTTGTTGTAGACGTGGTTGTTGTTGCCTCCTTTCAGTCGCTCTGCTGCTGCTGAGATCTGGAGCGGTTCCAGTGTGTTCTGGTGCTCGCTGTGAGCCGTGTCTCTGCGCAGGCTGTAAATCGTGTCCCCCGTCATTTCGAAAACACACGGATATTAATGCGGGATGCTGTGTTTAATCCAAATGGCCACCACGCAGCAGCACTAGACATCACTACGCATCCCCGCGGTGCACTATAGCGGAGTTACTGCGGTGTGGAAGTCGGTCTAATCACTGCAGACGCTGGAGCGGAGATGCCCGGCTGTCCCTTAGCTCGGTTTCTGCGGTCAGCCGGAGGCAGAGAGCCCTCATGGTGGATCCGCAGCTCTGCTCCTTCCGAAACGCACCGCTGCTGCTGCTGGAGGAGATTAAATTAAACACAGCGCCGCGGTGGGGCGATAAAATTGACCCACCGGCGGATCCGCTTCCTATTTCTCCCGTTATATTCGAAATATGACTGCGAAACGCCAGAGGGCGCCCGCGAGCGAACCCTCAATAAATGGGCGTGGATGGAGCTAAACAGCTAAAAACGAAAAGTTAAAATAGCTTTTAACCATCTGTTCAGACATTTCTGTGATTTTATAAAGTAGGATGTATTTCATTAAAAGAGCAAAGAATACTTACCTGTCCTTCACTGCTACTGAGAGCTGATTGGTTATCATTACTGCTACTGAGTGCTGATTGGTTATCATTACTGCTATTGAGTGCTGATTGGTTAACATTACTGTTAGTGAGTGCTGATTGGTTATCATTACTGCTATTGAGTGCTGATTGGTTATCATTACTGCTACTGAGTGCTGATTGGTTAACATTACTGCTAGTGAGTGCTGATTGGTTATCATTACTGCTAGTGAGTGCTGATTGGTTAACATTACTGTTACTGCGTGCTGGTTGGTTATCATTCCTGCTACTGCGTGCTGGTTGGTTATCATTACTGCTACTGAGTGCTGATTGGTTAACATTCCTGCTACTGAGTGCTGGTTGGTTATCATTCCTGCTACTGAGTGCTGATTGGTTAACATTACTGCTATTGAGTGCTGAATGTGGTGGTGAGGGTGGGGTGAGGGTGGGGTGAGAGGGAGAGAGAGACTTTTCAAAGTATGTATGGTGTATATATATATATATAATATATATATATATATGTATATATATAATATATATATATGTATGTATAAGGTATGTATGGTGTGGCTGTGGCCAACCTCAGCTGGTTAATAAAGCACCAGAAGATACATATATCTTATGTGAAATGAGAAAAAGTAGAAGAAAAAATAATATAAAAGAAAAAAGAAGGAAAAGAAGAGAAATAGGAAGAGAAAGAGGGGAAAAAAGATGGTCATTAATCCACGTGGTCTTTTGTTTAAAAAAAAAAGACGATCAGTAATCCACACGATCGTTTTGAAAAAATCTCAGTCAGTGACATTTTTTCTGTGATTCCCTGCTTGATGGTACTATTAGTAAATTTTTCGATGTGACTCAGGGATGTGTCTTTTGTAAAGGGCCCACAGAATCCACTGAACTCTCATTTTTCTATTGTGTATTTGCTTAATCGTGTTGAGTTGATCTGTAGACTTTAAAAGAAGATTAGTTAAAGAGATTTAGTCTAAAAGCCACTCCCTTACTCATCACATACATTAAGGGTGTATGAAATTTGTGATTTTGAGAACTAAATTTTAAAAAAAAGAAGAAAAGAAAAAGAAAAGATGGGAAAAGGAAAGGAAAGAAGAAAAGAAGGGGAAAAAGAAGGAAATGAAGAAAAAAGGAATGTCATTAATCCACAGGTTCTTTTGTTTTGAAAAAAAAATCACAGTCTTTAATTATTTTTTTTGTTGTTGTTTTCAAAGCCGCAACCGTATCAAATCTGTCGGTGTATAAATAAACACACACAGTCTTCAGTAGCACCGCCGGTATTTTTGAAGCGCTGAAAAAACCTCCCGGACATTTGGCTGGCGGACGTGACGTCACCGGACCCGCCTGTGCGTGTTTGTTCTGGAGGCGAATCTGTGGCCGCCTGTTTAGCACGGAAAATCCACATTTTTATCATAATAATATTGCTTTTATAAACTAACCATATATATAAAAAAATTAACAAAAGTAAGTGTTTGCGAGCCCGCGTTTGCAAAGACGGCCATTGGCCTAATGGGACTTTTATTTTGAAAAAAAAATCACCGTCAGCGATATTTTTCCTTTCATGTTTTAACTTTCCTATTTTTTTTTTAAACCGAAACAATCTCATGAGAGAGAAATACATTTCTTTCTGTGGCAGAGACTGTTAAACAGGGAATCACAAAGCAACTTTAAACCAATAAATAACACCGCCGATATTTTGAAGCGCTGAAACCCCCTAACCGCCCCCCCCCCAAACCGGGCGCTGGCGGAAGTGACGTCGCTGTGTGTGGTCTTTCGGAGTTCAATGGAGGAAAATCTTTCTTTCCTTCCGCTGTAGAACATGATAAACATCACCATCGCTCCGTCTGCGGCGCGTCTTCGGCTCCAGCACTGAGAGGCAGAGCAGCATGGCGTCTAAGGGGAAGAAGGCGGTGAGTCAGGAGGAGCTGCGGCGCCTCATGAAGGAGAAGCAGCGCGCGGCGGAGCGGCAGCGGCGCGTGCAGTCTCCTTTCGCCAAGTACACGAGCGCGGGGCGGCTGATGTGCACGCTGTGCGGAGAGCAGGTGAAGAGCGAGGCAGTGTGGCAGGCGCACGTGCTGGGCAGGGGGCACAAGGAGAAAGTGGGGCGGTTGAAAGAGGGGCAGGGGCAGGAGCAGGAGCAGGAGCAGGGGCTAAAGAGGAAGAAGGAGGAGGAGGAGCAGCAGGGAGCGGGGAAGAGAGCGAAGGAGGAGAGGAAGAAAGAGGAAGAAGGAGCAGGGAAGGAGGCCAAGAGTCAAAAGGGGCTGCCGGCAGGTTTCTTCCAGACCAAAGGCGTGGCTGGGCTTGGGCTTCTTGCTGGACAGTATGGTGAAGATGATGATGATGATGAAGATGAGGAGGAGGAGGAAAAGGAACAGAAGGGAAAAAGTGATACTGTTAACGCTGGGCTGAAGCCGCCAGGTGGCGCTGCTGGGCTCCCTGCAGATTTCTTTGAGTCCGCTGCCCCCGGCGGGACCCCCTCGAAGACCACCGGGGAGGAAGAGGAGAAGGTGGAAGAGAAGGAGGAAGAGGAAGGGGAGGGTAAGGGGGCCAAGCCCGAGCTGCAGCTGCCCGAAGGCTTCTTCGATGACCCGGTGAGGGATGCACGTGTGCGCAACGTGGACACGCCACGTGAGCAGATGGACCGCGAGTGGGAGGAGTTCCAGAAGGAGATGCGCCTGGTCAACAGTGCCTCGGACGCCATCGTGGCTGAGGATGATGAGGAAGGCCGCATCGAGCGCCAGATCGATGAGATCGATGAGCAGATCGAGTGTTTCCGCAGAGTGGAACTCCTCAGGGCCAAACAGGAGGCTGCTCAGGTCAAGACGGCCAAGCAGAGGGCAGCGGCGGAGGAGGAGGGCCGAGAGGCCGCTGAGAATGATGAGGAAGATGAAGAGGAACTGCTGCATGTGTTGTCGAGAGACTGGAGAGCTAAAGGAGCGCTGGCGTAGCACCCACTGCTTCTCCTGAGCTCCGATGAAGAACTGCTGAAGTGACACCAGGCTGATGAGCAGTGGTTCTGCTCGAAGGACACCTCAGCAGTCACGCTGAAGGTCACCAGACTGCGCTGACCCTCCAGGACCGCACTTCGACACCCCTGAACTAAACTGTGGGCTTCTGTAAAATACTGAAACTTACTTTTCCATTGTTCTGGTTGTATAAATGACAAGGTTATTTGTTGTCAACAGATGTTACAAATCCTGTCACCCTGGGTTATATTTTCTTATTGTTCTCCATTAAATCTAAAATTCATTATGTAACGTTGCAAGAGGTTTTGAAAGCTAATTGTGGGTTTCCAGTCCTAAAACAAGGGGAGTTTCACATGACTACCATGTGTTCCACCTTGGTAGCCTATCCACCCCAACCAAAACACTGTTTTTTGTCTTTTTTCACATTACATCACCAATCAAACAATAAAAATCCAGGGTTGGGCAAGATGGCAAAAATACAACATCAAGATACTTGAAGACATTTTCACGATACACAGTGTGCATCTCAATATGTAGTTTTTCTGACGTTTGATTAGTTGTAACTGAAAAAAAAACAGGACCAGTAGAGCCACATTGAAGAGTAATATGAAAAACTGCATACAAAAATTTTTTTGGTTCAATGTTTCACACACGTTGCACTCAATACAAATAACAGTATAACTATGTCGAAACATGATGAAACATGCAGTCGGTCAGCGTCCTTTAACTACTGATGATGTCCACGATATGCTCGGGTAAGCATGTTGTGATGTAACGTATCACGATAATGATAAAATATCGTCATATTGCCCAGCCCTAATTCAACCCATAAATTCGTCCACGGCTTCGTTTCTCATTAAACCCAGCACCATCCATGGCATCACGATAAACATGACACTCTCAGAAAACCATTTCTGAACCACTACCACCCAGCAGACATGGGCTATCTACATTTCCCAGACTGAGGGATTCGAACAAAGCTTTTAAAAACAAATTTAGTTGAAACATCAACTGTTGCATCTCAGAACTGCAAAAAAATGACCTTTTTTCTGTGTATGCTGTGAAGATATAGAAAGAATTTGGCTCCCACACTAATCATCACGGGATACTGTAAACAGTTCTGATACCTCAAAGGGCTAAATATCACACAAGAGAGATAACTGCAGTCCTCTTACTGCAGCAGACCGCAGAGTTTCCACACAGTGTGCATCTCAATATGTATTCATGCTTTGAGACCCCAGCCTATACGAGAGAAATGAACCTGGTGCATTGATTCAGTACAGAGTTTTAAACTGACCCAGTTGAAGGCCTCACTCACTGCAGCACATTTCCCAACTCGCCTGGGCCAGAAATGGTTTTCCATGCTTGTACTTACATGCTCAGACAGCCCTGGACCAATCTGTGGTCAGTAAAATACTTGAGATTTTAAGTATGGGCTGTAAAATAAAGGGATTTATGCTTTATATCTAGTACGTATTTGATATTTAAGTATTCACATAGGAGCCAAAAATGTGTTTCCGAATTGTGTACATTTTAGTTAACACATACTTTAAATTGCAGGAAGGGCTTGAAGGTGAGCTGATTACATGTACAATGCAGGACCACTCAAGGACCAGGTTTACGAACAACTGTAATGGCATTTATACCCCAGGCAGTGTGGTATGGTACGGTTATAAATCCATGATCATTTTGTTGTCATTTCCTCTGCATTACCTGAAGACCTGTGCTAAATGTGCTTGTTGGTGTACCAAGCGTGCCGAGCCGGGACGTACAGGTGGAGGTGCTGATGTGGCAAACCACTGACTGGTCAGACATAATTGTCACTGGAGTCAAATGATTCCGTTAAAAAAAAACCTATAAAACCCTATCTAGCCAGAATCGCTGTCTGTGACCCTTCACCAAAAAACATGCGCAGAGTAAAAGGTCAATCAGAGCTTGAAGCTCCAGCTTTGTTGCTACTGTTGTTTGTGTTTACTGTTAACACATGACAATTAACGTGACCTTACAAGCTTAAGTTTTGGCCTATTCTGAATAAACAATGGCTGTTCGGGTCATGGCAAAGTGTTAAGTAAAAAAGAAATAAAAACACAGCTGGCCCACGGATTTGAGGAATGTGGCCCTTTTAGTAGTTGAGTATGACACCCCTGGTCTAAGGGAACACCTATTGCTGGGAAACTGTGACAAAAGACACTAATTATTGGCAAAGTATCGCCAATACAAATAAAACCATGAGTCATCAACATCGGCCAACATTATCAGCCAAATGATATATCGTCTAGGCCCTAGTACACCTCTCATTTAAACATCCTGATAATAACACAGTGCCAGCAAATGATCAATGTTGATAGCTGATAGCGTGTGTAAACATGGGCCTGGTTAAACATAAAGCAACACAGTGAGACAGATGAAGCAGATCGTTCAGATAAATTAGGTCTTTATACATGTTATGTCAAAAGCAAAACGCAGAGCAAACCTGAATTCATTACAATGTACAATGCTGAGTATTTTACACCATCAGGTTCTCCGACCCACCCCTTCAGAGGAACAACCTTTATTAATACATAAAGCAGTTAAAAATTAGCCTGAGCAGCAGCCCGCTGACATGACGTACTACTCCTGCCCAAACAGTCAGACAATAATAAGCCATGGCTGGGGAGCTGTTGGCCATTCTGTGATGCCAGTTATAGGTAGTATTTATGTTTTTCTGAACCCAAAACCAAACAGAAAGTAGCATAAATGGTGCTGCCTTGGCTCCTCTCCTCTGCATGCTGTAGTCTGGATTAGAAACACTGATTGGATGAAAATGGTCACAACATTAGAGGAAAAATTAAGCACTTTCAGTTTGCCAGGACAAAAGCAGTGCTGCTGCCTTTAGGCTGATACTCAGGCTAATACGAGTTTCATATATTTACATTACTACACAGTTTAATGTGACTGGACAGTAAGTGAAACATTATCATAAAAAAACTAGACTCAAACCAAAGCAGTGTTTTTCACTACCTGTCTAGACCTGCTTCCCCCACAAATGGACAAGCTGTGTAGAATCATCCCTCTTGTCCCGAATACATTATTGGAGAACACAGAGTAAAACACCAGTTCCAAATAAAAGCCTTTGGGGCCAGTTTCTCTGACATGGATTGAATTTACACTTAGATGAAATTGCAATGCCAATGCTGTTTCTCAATTAAAATCCCATCTAGTCTAGGCTTGAGCTTAAATGGGAATGCCAATGATTTTTCTGAAGATATCTGTATAATTAAATGGTTACGATGTAAACAAAGTCATTCAGTGGTTTGGTGTGAAAAGCGCTGTTGAAGAGAAATCTACAGAGTCAAAATTGTTCACGGCAGTGGGAACCAGACGTCTGAAGTCTTTAAAAGCTACCTCACGGAACGTTACTACATTAAACGGTTATCGATACACTGCCTGATGCCTGAGACACTGTTTTTCGATAGTTTTGAGATGAGATTTTGGCTTATTTTAAATACATTCATGGTAGAAAATTACATGCAGGGTGTTGTGAGGCAAAATATTCCCATTGAGATTTACCACTATTTTTCCATCATTTCACATCAGGACACTCTGAATGTCTTTGTTTACACCTTTAATCTGCATCTGGGGAAACCAGCCCATAAATGTTATTGCTACATTTGCAGAATGAAGAACTATATAGTAAATAATTTAGAAAGCTTATCGTCTTCATAGCCCTTCAAATTGTAAATTCAGATTATGATAAGAAGGAAATATATTTTAACAGAATAGGATATAAATAAGGGAGAGTAAAAAGACAAAAAAAAACAAACAACCAATTCCTACTCTAGACAGCCTTCCAGCATGATTGTGTACTTAGAGAAAAATAGAAAAACATGACTACAAACATTCAGAGAATCACAAGTGGGAAGTGTGACATTTTGTGAGAATAAATCTAGTTGTTATTTTTCTTTTATTTTAAGGTTAGGCATCAAAGCAGCCAGCAAGAAGCTGCAATATAAGTATTCACTTCTGAGTAAGTATTCATTTCCATCACATTCACGTGTACTAAAACAAACCCACACACCTTTAGCTTAAGAATCTTCAGATTGTTTCTTCTGAGGTCAATTACAGCACTGTAAACGCTTACGTCAAATCTGCTGTCGCCGAAAGACAACGTCAAAGTAAACAGCTCAACTGGTGACGCGTACCCTGTGCTGCTGGCATGCAAAGAGGATCCGTCTGCCATCAGCCAATTAACCTCTCAAACACTGATTTAAACGAATTAGAAAGTGCAGCGGTCATTGGGAGCCACCAGCTGAACAGCATCCACCGAGGCAGCGTGTCGTCCAGCTGTTCATTCAGGGCTCAAGTGTTCTTGCTTCATCTTAATGTTCTTCATGACCGCTCCACGATCAGGAAGTCAATCGATTTTGATCCGTTAACAAAAGCCACGGGCTCAGCTCACAGAGCTATAGCAGCCTGGAGCTCATCCAAGGTATACCTGTGGTCTCGATCTACATCGTAAGGCTGGAGAAGGTGGGCGTCCGGAGTGGACGGCCCAAAGATCTTCCTCAAGTCCTCATATGACACGCCTTCAGAGATGTAGCCCAGTCGAGCTTGCAGAAGCTTCTCTAAATCTAAGAGAAAAGAGAGAAAAGCAAACATGTCTATTAAAAGTACTCGATTACATCTACAGATTCAGCTCCGTCTGCCACAACAAGAAATACACCAGCTAGGTTTCCCATGAATGAATTTTAGGTATATTTTTTTTGGGGGGGGGGTAACAACTTTCTGGAATCTGTGAACATCAAATAAAATTTCCCAAACGTAAGTTTGTATGCTTGGTTTGAGGTGCATAACTTTCATGCTGATAAAAAAAAATTGCACTACATTAAGATGAATGTGCCAAATTCAAACCTTTTAAACATCTAGATCCAGATTAGGCCTAAGCCTCTACTAAAAAGAATTTCCAATGGTGATGCACATTTGGCACTGCAATGTAGTCTTAGACTACACTGTTAAGAAAAGTTCTACATGGTACCCAAAACATGCTTTTTTATTTGTAACAATAGTGGCACCCTTCTTAAAAGACACTTTAGAGAAAAGATAAAACTAATTTTAAAAGATACTTTAGAGAACCATATGGAGAATTTAATATGGAGACATTTAACCATGCAAAAACATTGGCTCTACAAAAGAACCCTCAAAGAACCCCCCTTTTAAGGAGTTTTTCCTATAATCGACAACAAACTGCATATGAAAGCAAAAATAATGACCTTCGACGGAGCTAACCCCTGGAAAAGTTAGTCGCTGTCGTATGGGTGAGTTCTCTCTCTTGGCACGGCTCTTAGTCAGAAACCGCGGGTGTCGGGTGGGGTGCGAACCTGAAGGTTGTGTGGGACCTGAGCGAATGTGATAAGAGGACACGTGAGATTCACATTCAGACACTCCGCACACAGTCTAATAGCCTTCTCTAGTGCAATGACTAAAGATGTTGGAAATGCTGAAAAGCTGAAATAGATACCAGAATTGCCACTGGTTTCTGTCCCCTCATTGAGGTTTCTGCTACTTTCATCATGGTCCACGGCCAATGGAGAGTCCTAAATACAGCAAACGATTACAGTCAAATTTTCAGGACATAATAACTTTCTATGTGAAACATACACCAATCAGGCTTAACATTATGACCACCTCCTTGTTTCTACGCTCATCGTCCATGTTATCAGCTCTACTATATAGGTGCACTTTGTAGTTCTACAGTTACAGACTGTAGTCCATCTGTTTCTCTGCATACTTTGTTAGACCCCTTTTACCCTGTTCTTCAGTGGTCAGGACCCCCATGGACCCTCACAGAGCAGGTACTATTTGGGCGGTGGATCATTCTCAGCACTGCAGTAACACTGACGTGGTGGTGGCGTGTTATTGTGTGTTGTGCTGGTACGAGTGGATCAGACACAGCAGTGCTGCTGAAGTTTTTAAACACTGTGTCCACTCACTGTCCACTCTATTAGACACTCCTACCCTGTTGCTAGATGCAAAGTCAGAGACGATAGCTCATCTGCTGCTGCACAGTTTGTGTTGGTCATCCTCTAGTCCTTCATCAGTGGTCACAGGACGCTGCCCACAGGACGCTGTTGGCTGGATATTTCTGGTTGGTGCATGATTCTCAGTCCAGCAGTGACACTGACGTGTTTAAAAACTCCAGCAGCGCTGCTGTGTCTGATCCACTCGCACCAGCACAACACACACTAACACACCACCACCACGTCAGTGTTACTGCAGTGCTGAGAATGATCCACCACCCAAATAGTACCTGCTCTGTGAGGGTCGTGACCAACGAAGAACAGGGTAAAAGGGGGCTAACAAAGTATACAGAGAAACAGATGGACTACAGTCTGTAACTGTAGAACTACAAAGTGCACCTATATAGTAAGTGGAGCTGATAAAATAGACAATGAGCATAGAAACAAGGAGGTGGTCATAATGTTATGCCTGATTGGTGTATCGTTCTTATAGAAGCCTAGAGAAATCATTACAGTAAAAAACATACAGACATATGAAAAAGCACCCCCCCGAAATGTTCTGCTTTTTTTGATATATTTGGACACATCACTGTTTGATCTTCAGTTAGACAGTATGTACAAATAAACGTTATGTATCAGAACAAAACCAATGGAAATGTTACTTTGCACTAGTTTATTAAAAAATATATATATAGTTTTTAAAGAAGTAAATCAAGACAGATGAAATTTTTGTGTGTTGAAAAAGTAAGCAAGCTTCTATAACTGGTACTTCCTCCTTTGGCAGAAACAACTTTACGTAGGGGAAAATACCTTGTGAGGAAGACGCCGACTCTTTAATGTGACAAGTTGGCTCTGCCAGCTTATCAGCTTATCTGAAGAGGCAGCCACCGTAACTCAAACATGAAAAACCTGCTGATGCCCTCTGGCCATTTTTAATTTAAAAAACACGCTTTGTGTGTGCTGATATATTTTTTGTCCAACACTAATAAAAAGTTAAGCCTGCAGTTCTACATTATTTTCAGCCAAAGTTCATTTTGTGGTTTGTTTTTTCTTCCCTATGGTTAGCCAGATATGAGTTGCTGAACTCTTATGGACACTCAAATTCAATTTGTAACTACAGTCACACATGCATGTGTGAAATCCTTCTGCTGTGAGTTTCCTCTCTTTCAGTGATGCTAACAAAAGAAACTTGAGTACTAACAGATCCTCCTTGTGGAGAAGCTGCTTCATAATCACCTGCAGAAAACTTGCTGATCATCACATCCACATTTTAAGCCATTCACGGTGCTGATTCATCGAGAATGTAAATTTCACTCTATTAACTGACTAACAAAGACCGCCACAGCGCTGAAAATTACTCAATCACGCTAAACGCACATTCATGTGTTTTCCTCCCTCTTTGAAAACGCTTGTTTACCGTTAGAGTCTTCTGTTTGTCCTCTCCTTTCTTCTGGTCCTCTATAAAAGTCTGAATCATCTTCACATCATGTTGAACACTAGTAAGTGTGCTTCCAATTGTAGCTACACTCTGTAGGGAAAAAAATAAGTAAGTAAGTGAAAATGTCAGATAATAGTTTTAGGAGCACAAATATAAGACATATACTGATATATGAATAACTGGTCTTATTTGGCAATATCAAAATATTTTATATATACTTTTATCACCATTATTTTTTTTTTGCTGAATTCACTTACCTTCTGGAGCTCTTCCACTGTTGTTGGCAGACTAATCAAATCTGATGCTGATTTAATGTTTGCCTTCAGGTGGTTAACAGCAGAGTCCAGTGTACTTATCTACACAGACAGAAAAAAGACTCAGCGTGAAGCAGCCCTAAGGCAATCAATCAATTTCATGGCAAGTAAACAACCTGGCACCTACAGTGAGGGGGAATGCACATGCACTGTAATACATTCGTGCACTACAGAGCCTTCAGCACTGACTAACAACTGACAAAGCAAGGAGGGCATTTTAAAATGTAATGAATGAATTTGATTGGAAATATGAAATGTTAGTGGTGAGCTGACCTTCCTGTTGATTTCCGTAAGATTGGACCACAATTTATTCAAACCCCTGTCTCCATTCTCCATGTCCTCCAACATCCGCTGTTTGGCCTTCAGCTCCTCACCAAGCTTCGGTATTTCATGTGAAGAAGCCTTCTGACTCGATTCCACTGTTAATACAAACAAAATGCTTGAAAGGGTCGCAATGACCCAGACACTGTAAAAACAGACTTCATTCTGAATGGTTACGCAAGACAAATTTATTGTTGTAAATGTTTGCGAGATGAGAGACAGAACAAAGTACATAACTGTCACCTTTAGTGCTGTATAATTTAACAACTAAATTGCAGACTATGTAGTCATATAGTGTGGTTTCATGGTGACGTCTTTTATTTTGGGTCAAAGATGAAGCAGACTAAGTATCAAACAGATCACGCTGCCTATTTTATATCTAAGATTTTGCGCAGAATTATAAGTGCGAACTTACTGGTGCGAAGCTTTTCTTTCAAGGAGTCCAAATCTTCTTTAAGTGCTATCTGCATCCATATCAGTCCAGCACAGGCCATGACACAAGCAGCCAAAATGATAAACACACATAAGGGGTAGCAGATGCTGCAGCACTGGGTGTAACTTCTGCAAAACAAAACAAACAAAAAAAGAGACAGAGTAACTCTTAACAACACTTATTAACAATAAACCCATCCACAGTGCAGGTACAGTAAACATTTCCTACAGTCCACCTGCACCTGGGCTGAAAGATTTGGGGAAAATGTCTAGTTTGCGATTTTTTCTGAGCAATATTGAGATTGAAATATTTAAATGTGATTGATTTCTTTACGTTAAGCTCTAGGACCTTTTTTCCACCAAGAAGATCAGCACTTTTTTAAAATATTTGAGACTGAACACGCTGAATGTAGTATGTCGGTTCACAAGCTCTGCATTACCAGGCTAAATTTCCCCACTTAAAATTTGTTAAGACAATGTTAATGAATAGTTTAAGGTTAGAACTGCAGCTCCTGCAGTCTTTCAGATTGTGATTTGGATATAAAAATGACTAACTGTTCAGCTCTAACATGCACTGTGTGGTTTCCATAATGAGCACACCTGACTGAATTCAGTGAGGGCATAAACAGCTGTATAACGATCAGGGGTCACAATTACAACTGGCCAAGACTGGACTACTCATAAAATCAGCATTCTCAAATTAAATGCCTAGCCCACAGCATCATTGTGTTGTGACAATAAATGTGATTTGATTCTCATTTAAATAGACAACAGATTATTTAAGATTTTAAAAAATGCCATTGTTTTAAAAGAGCAATGTTAATTAAGTTGCAGCATTTGCTAACAGAAAGTATTACTGTAGAAAATATTACTGCGCTATGTGCTTCGTTTACTTAGTGTTGAGAACCACTCATCTAGTATTTCTGTACTCCCGACACATCTAATTCAGCTAATCAGCTCATTAACAACCCTTTACCGAGATGAAGTCAGTGTGATACAGCAAGAAAAGCAGTAAATTGTGCAGAGCGGCCAATAAATAACTGCCAATAAACACTGGCCAAAAAAAGCGGACATCAGCTGACTTGGTTGTAAAGAAATCAGAATCGGCTATATAAATTCATGATTGGTGCAGCTGTAACAGTGATGTTTGTCAGAGTGGAAAAAACAAAACTAATGTGATAATCTCTGGGGTGTTTCACTCACAAGAGTGGTTCTCAAACCATTCCTGAGAGCCAGAGGGAAAATGTTCACGACCCTGGCGGTCCTGAGGACCAGTTTAAGAACCACTAACTTGAGAAACAGAACACAAATGGATGTGTTATCGCAAATTTGGTGGTAATGACTCCTTGACTGGATCCAATCACAGCCGTGACGTAACTTGCAATAATACACTTCTTCTCTTGTTCTTTTATGAATGTTCTGCAAGGAAAAAGAACAATTATAACAAAGAGGCCTCAAATATTTTGCAAAGATGTGTTTTTTAAAAACTGCCAATTTCTTCCACCAAAACCATCAGCTTAGAGTGAAGCCAACATTTTACTTAGCAACCAACAGTCCATGTGTGATCAGAACTGTTGAACCAAAGCAGGATTTCTTTTTTAGTCTGATAACTTCAGTCAGAAGTCAGGAATGTATAAGATGAGTGGTCCTCAACTGTAGTGATGGGGAGTCACTTCCCTGCACATTTTCCATGATTTCCTGCCCTCAAGCTCATCAGCTAATGACCAAGCCAGTCATTAGCTGTATTAGGTGTGCTGGGGGGGTAGGGGACCCTTAAAACTGTGCAGAGCAGCAGGTATTGAAGACTGGAGCTGAGAACAGAAACATTTCTGAAACATTCAGCCAAAATTTCCACTGATCTCCTGTTTTCTCTCATCCAGCACACCTGATCCAAGGTATTAAAGTGGTTTGGTAAAAACATCTGCATTACTCAACCAGTAATGCGTAAACAAAGTCATTCAGAGTGTTTTGGACGTCCAATGAGGTCAATGCCTCTGAAATCTCCCTCAAAGAAAGTTATTAAATTAAATGGTCACTAATACGTTTCCTGATGTCTCATATGTTGTTTTATGATAGTTTACTGATGACGTTTTGGCCTAAACTGTATTTTTAAAATACATGCAGGGCTTTGTAAAACAAAACAGTCCCCAGATTGTTTTGAAAGCTACTCTAATGTTATCAACGTTACATATAAAACTCAGGAGACACGTGTAGGTTCACTGGTCATACTGTGTAGTAAGTAAAATGAATCTGTGTTGTGACATTGTGACTCCTGGTTCCCATTAAAACCATCATAAGGAAAATCTGAATCGTAACATTTTTCTACAGTGAACCACTTCATAACAAACCACTCCGCATGACTGTTTAACATCTTAATGCCTGAATTACACAGAAATTTTGAAAAAAATCATCAGATGTGTTCTTCAAGGGTTCTTTAGTCAAGACAATGGTTCTATATAGAACCATGAACTCTCAAAGAACCCTTTGCATAATTAAATGGTTCTTTGAATCATGAAAGGATTCTTCAGATTGATGGAGAATGTGCTGTATATGGTTCTAAACAGAACCTTTTTGAAAAGGGTTCTTCTACTGTAACAAGCTTGATACAATGACAACAGAAGAACCCTTTTTGGTGCTATGTAGAGCCCTTTTCATGTGCTTAAACAGAACCATCTACAGCTCATTCTTCATCAATCCGAATAACGCTTCCATGATGCAAAGAACCATTTAATCATGCAAAGGGTTCTTTGAGTGTTCATGGTTCTATATCGAACCATTTTATTTACTAAAGAACCCTTGAAGAACCATCTTTTTTAATGTGCTGAGTAGGAAAAAAACAAAAATGTGTACTACCCTCTTAAAAAGATGGTTCTTCAAGAGTTCTTTAGTAAGGGGAATAGTTCTCTACAGAACCATTTCATGCTTAAATGGTTCTCTGCATGGTAAAATGGTTCTTCAGATTAATGGAGAATGTGTTGTATTTGGTTCTATACAGAACCTTTTTGAAAATGGTTCCATATAGCACCAAAAAGGGTTCTGCTGTTGTTGCAACATCAAGCTTTTCTAAGAAGTTCAATATAGAACCACATACAACACATTGTCCATCAGTCTGAAGCACCATTTCACCATGCAGAGAACCATTTAAGCACGGAATGGTTCTACATAGAACCTTTGGCTCTAAATAGAACCATTTCCTTTACTAAAGAACCGCCCTTTTTAAGAGGGTAGACTATGATAGAGGACCACAGATCCCGTCAAAGTGAGACACTAACTTTCTGAAAACTCCAGCACTGCTGAGGTTGGTGAACTCGTCGTCCTCCGAGCTGGACTCGGACTCGGATCCGGGCGGTTCGGTCCGCAGCAGCCGGTGTCCGGAGCCCTTCTTTGTCTTCTTCCTCTTGCTGTCGCCCAGTCCTATCAAAGCGTTCAGCTCTTTGCGCTTCTTCATCTTCTTCTGAGGGGTCAGCGCTCCGGCCGACCCCGGTTTAAGCCCGACCAGATCCAACGTTTTATCCAGTTTGGTGTGACTGACTGAGAGGCAGCGGGCGGGTGGCTGTCTGTTGTTGTCAGAGCCGAAATAGAGCCGCGCTGTGTTCGAGTATTTAACGTTACTCCTTCCTACTACACCGACAGACAGCCACCTTGCTGTCTGTCTGTCTGTCACTTCTGTGTGTTGACAGTCCGGTTAAGAGTTAAGGGTGATCTAATCAGATCTAATTCGGTCAGATTATCAACACAACCCGAACCTCAGTCCACGTTGATTAGTCATGTCAACATTTACGAACCTCATTCACATCTAGGTGCTGAAAACAAACAAAACGGTCGATTTATTCGGTCAAATTCCCACAACACAACCAGCTCCAGTGGCTATAATCCAGCTAGGTTAGCTGGTTTAGCTACAGGGCTGCCTGTACCACCCCGTCATGAAAACAGCGCATTTCCCAATGATTTCTGCCACCGGAGGTTTCAGTAGCGATCAGATTTTAGTTAAGTTCACTCCAGACTCTCCACAGCCGTCCTTGTTGTCGACGACAGATTAAATTCGTTTAAATGTAAACGGTTAGCTTAGCGAATCGGCTCCTGCTACACCGCTTCCTCTCCAGGAACGTTTGGTTTCTGCCGCAGAAGAAGCTGCGCAGATTTTAAACACCCGTCGCACTTTCACTGATCTGTAAATCATACCGTCTTCATAACCTAAGTGCGCATGGTATACGTATCGCAGAAACGCAACAACGTTCTGAAACGATGGCACTGGGCTTCAAAATAAAAGCTCTCACAGGTAGCGAAACGACAACTGACAACATAATAACAACAACAACAACAATAATAATTATAATTATAACTATAATTATAATTATTATTGTTATAATTATAACATTATTCAGTTAGTGTACTGACACATAAGGTATATGTTGCAAACAGAGCATTGAAAGACCACCATGGTAAACAGAAAAATAAAAGTTGAGAGGGAAAAACTAGAATAAAATAAAACAAAAATAAAATAAAGGTAGCTGAGGGTCTTTGTCAGTCAACAAAAATCGGTCAATTAAAGTTAACAGTCTTTGGGCTTTCTTGTTTTTCACACTTTTCAGAGACTTATACAACAAATGAACATCCATCTTCCACTGTTCAGTTGGGGAATCACTTTTGTACATCAAAATGTATGTGTGAAGTCCATATGACAGTGGACCCTACAAAAGGTTCTCTGAGAAGTACAGATAAATTTGTTGAAATTGGGTCTCTGTGATACAGTAAAATCATCGAAAACATTTTCATCAGCGTTTTCAAACAATCAAAACTATTTTCTGGGGTTGCAACACACAAACTAATCTTCGATCTCAAATCCAATTTCTGGTCCTGGAATTTGTAATCACAGGTAGGTATGATCATAGATACATACATATGTATTTATATCTATGGGTATGACACAGCCAGTTAAATCAACAGATTAGTTAACGTTACCAGTCACTACAAAATCCAATACCAAAATCTGGACTCATGGTCCAGAGTTGAAGACCTTCGTTTGAGCGTACTAACTTTCCTACTTGGTCAAGTGTTCCCAATCTCAGTCCTGGTGACCCAACACTGCACATTTTTGCTTTGCATCTCATTGGCTGGGTCAGGTGTACAGAGTACAGAAACCACAAAACATGTGCAGAGCAAAGGGTGGCCAGGACTGGTTTTAGGACCCATTGTACCAGGCCTAATTATGTCCACTTTCTGCTTAGCAGGAGGTTGTGGTGAAACCAGTGGTAACCAATGAAGTTAAATAAATAGCGGAACTAACGTAACTGCTGACATTACAGTTTCAGCTAATTAGCAATGGAACTAACACATTAGCGGTTGCTCTGGTATTTTAGCCCCGTCTGTGACATCACGAAGCTCTTCTCACAACGAGAATTAACTGGACAAACTGGACAACTAAGCAGCACGTAACAGTGTGAAGTAACTTGCTGAAGTAAAAATTTCACTGCATTATTCAGAAACATGGCCTCAAATATATTTAAGTACAAAAGTGCAGATGACCAATGTAAGGACAGCATTTTGTAATAAAAACAATACTTTTGAAACTTAAGATGTTAAATTATTCAAAAATCTATCAGTGCATACAGTACCTCACATTTAGGAGAATATTGGTGGTTGGCTAAATCACTCATTTTTCAAAAGCTTGTTTGAAAGTACACATCCTGCATGAGTTCAGCCCTCAGCAGCTCTCCTGGGTTTCGAGTTCAGACCAAGGTCTTTCCTTTCAAGTTTCTGAAAAGGAACCTCAAGTAAATAACTTATTTGAACTGTTTTGACTTTTCCAAGCACAGACTGAGGCTTCACAATGACTTTTTCAATTATTTTGATTGTCTGTCTGTATTTTATAGTGTTTTTTTATGCATCTAAACTCAAAAATTAATTACTGTATAAGCTTAATGAAACGATGCCACACATTTACCCCATTTCCATTCAATCCAGTAGAGTACAGTTTCCATACACAGAGTTTGTTACCTAAAGTTCAGTTGTTGATGGAAAAAAGTTGAAACATCTCAGTGCAAATGATTTGGGTTTCATTGGAATGGAATTCTTGTTGTATCAAAATGAACAGTTTGCTTTGATTGAAATGCAGTTTCATACCTTCATTTTTGTCCATTTTATGTAAACCTGCTACATACAGACAATACAACTTATTTACTTAAACATATTTTCAGTTTCTAAGTTAAACAAACCCTGTTGGTCCATTATTTGAGTTATATAAAACATAATATATGTATACATACACACACACACACACACACACACACATATATATATATATATATATATATATTATATATATATATACATACATGTGTGTGTGTATATATATATATATATATGTGTATATACATATATACATATATATATATATATGTATATATATGTATATATATATATATATATATATATATAGTTTGTACACAGCTACACACAAGCCTAAGATCAAAAATGCTCCTTTATCTGGCAGTCTGGTGGACGAGTCTGTGTTCGGTGAATGCCAGGAGAACGTTACCTGCCTGACTGCATTGTACCAACTATCACGTTTGGTGAAGGAATGACGATGCTATGGTGTTGTTTTTCAGGGGTTGGCCAAGATCCCTTAGTTCCACTGAGGCGAAATATATACATATATATGAGGCAGAGAAACCTAACTTCAAAATTTCAGATGTTCTTTGTCTGCTGTGTAAGTTTCATCTATTATGTAATGATGTGGTAATATATGTCAGGTTTTTTTATCCAGACCACTTTTTTGCTTGGTTTATTCCTGCTTGAGGCTTGTGAAGAGACGAAACCATTTTAAGCAGGAAAACTGTGGTCATTTTTTGGGCTGTAGCAGATGGTGACCTTTTAGCAATCGGTTAATCTGTTGATGACAGTTTCATTTAATCTTAAACACAAATAACATGACTGTAAATGGGTCACAGCCCTTTGTTTCCTTTTCCAGGCTGCCATAAGAGGGAACAATGTCTTGGCTTTTTGCCTGACTGTTAAGTCAACAGAGAGTTCAGCGATATTAAAAACTGGAGGAACTTCATAATAATAATGACAGTCAAATATCAGGTCCCTCAACCAAAACGCTCTGTTATTCATGAGCTGCACAGTCAAACCAAATGCAACTGTACATGCTGACCATGCATAAGAAGATATAAGATGCCGGCACTGCAAATATTAAATTCCTCTGGACATTTTTGTCCTCTGTAGCCCTGAGCCAAGCTTTTCTTACCCCTGCTCTTACTGCACTTACATTAAGCTGTTCTGCTTTTGACTGTCATGAAAATATGAAAAGATTTTCATTTATTTTCTCCTGGAAGTTAAATGTTATTGCTTGAGAATGAACAGCACTGGGCCATACAACCAGTGAAGCACTGAAGCACTCCATAGGAAATCCAGCAGTATGGTGTGTTTGCCCCAGACTTGTCCATTTAGCTCCATTCCAGACGTCACATTTAGTTATTTTGAAGGTGTGAACGTAATGCTGCCAGGCATCTTTACTTTACTTATTGTCGCTGGGGACTCCCTCTCAAAGGCTTTGTTGAGTTCTTTATTTATTATGATTTTTGTTCTTTTCTTGCAGTTTTTCTGTCTTCTGTTTCTGTCTTTTATCTAATTAACACATAGTTTGTCTTTGTACCAGCAGTTCTTATAAGTTTGGCCTGCAGTCCTGCTTCCTGGAAGATTTCTCACTTTGGAACGTCTTGGCAATTTCACATTTCTTGACTTAGTGTTTTATAACATTTTTGCAGATTCTTTATGATCAGAATCTGCAAAGGAGATCTGAAGATCTGAAGAGGAAATGAGAGACAATATTTCAAACTGAGCTTTGGAACTGAAAGCATTACTTCTTATTGGTGAGCTGATTCAATTGATCCAACTAACGGGGCAAAGTGTGCATCGTTAGCTTTGTTAGTGTGCAGCTGCTTTCCATCGCATTTTAATTTGCATTCTTCACAGCACAGCTATGAACAAAACACGTTTTCCTTTATTTTTAACTTCTCAATGCAATCAAATCAAATGCTCCATCTGAGAGATTATTCTGGCTCATAAGAGCTCCATTTAGCTGCTGGTTATTTTGGTAGCCTGTTTAAATGCCAGCATGGAAAATCAACACACCTGGCTTTAATTAGATGCGGCTGTATTAGCTAATAACGCTGAACGGTGCGCTGCAAATATGTAGCTGGGCCTGACGTAGGCCGTTTCTGCACGTTGCACATTGCATGATGAAATATACATTTTAACCCAAGAGATTTAGATTCACTGCTGTGAGACCACAGTGAAGGCAAAAGACATGAGTCTTACAATAAACCAGCAGTTCGTAACTAAGCTGCACAGCTCTGCAGCTTAGTTATTTAGCAGGTAGTTAGGCTTCTTGTGATGTGCAATGAGTCCAATCATGCCCTGTAAATTTGATAATTTAGAGGTCAGGGGCCTCACTGAACACAATCTGCATCATGTGTAATGTATAATGAAGTGGTAGCCTAGTCATGTCTCTTCTTGTATGGGTGCTCCTAATAAAAATGTTGGTCTCATTTTTTTTTAGAAAAGTAGAAGGAGCAAATGCAAACATTTTGCTTGCACTATAGAACAGGCCTGGCCGATGCAATCAGATATTGTTGATGATAGATAGGTAACCCAATGGCGATGGGTAAAAAGTTATAATCTCCCTGTTGGGGAAGAAAACTAGTACTAGTAGTCACTTTTTTCTGTGTGATAAAGAGAGATGTTAAGAAGCTCTCTGGTAGTTCTCTCTGCTATGCACTGTGATGTTAGCTTTACCCCACGGAACCTTTACTTATTTTACTCTATGTTAAGTTTAACTTGAGTGTATGGAACCAAAAACAAATGTCTACATCTATGTCAGGACCAGAAAGAGGTAACAAATAATATTAACTAATATAGATACACATAATGTTTTATTTACTTTCACTATTAAAATATTGAGTTATAATGAAGGCTTTAAAAGCCATTAGAAAACTTTACAGTAAATTCCCCAGCATCTGCACATATTAAGTGTCCTGGTAGTTAAATTATGAACACTCCGCTGTCTCGATGAAAAGCGCCTTGTCTTGTAATATATAAAACATGTGGGCACAGCTTAGGAAATCATTGTCT